GGGGACACCCCTTGCTCTTAAATGCGAGTCTGTTCTGTGCCTTCACTTTTTTTAGGCACAAAAACACTTTGAAATAAATATAAAAATGGCACGATTCCCCTTCCTTTTCATTACAGGTGCCGTCACCCCTCCTATGCAATCCTCAAAACAGTCATACAATGGTGCATGACTGTCAGCTGATGCACTCCACAGTGATAAATGCTGACAAATGATAAGTGCTGTTGCCCACGATTCTGTACACGCGATATGAAGTGGAGCAAAAGTCTGGGTTTTGGGGGCGTGTTTGAACAGACATATATACATAACTAATAATAATTATATCTAAAGATGCCAATCTTGGTGGGGTTTTTTTCCAAACACAACAAATTTTGTCTTAAATTAGCATAAAAAGTTAAAGCAGTCAAATGCCTTCATTATATTGTTAGATGTTAATGTATTTGCTGCTAATGTATAATTTATTTTTTTCTTTTGTAAATAATAATAATAAAATATATTGCTGACCATTTAACTGTTTATTTACAATCAAACAGCTCTAAATGAACATATTTAGTAATTTGAGATTTTTTTAAAGGGGGACAGGGGGTTGTCCCTTATTATGGTGGGGATATCCCTTATTTTCACATTCCAATGGTGACAGGTATGGCTTTGGGTCATTGTTCTGCTAAAAGATGAACCGTCACCCCAGTCTGAGGTCTAGAGCACTCTGAAGCAGGATTTCATTCAGTATGTCTCTGTAAATTGCTGCATTCATCTTTCCCTCTATCCTGACTAGTCTTTCAGTTCCTGCTGCTGAAAAACATCCCCACAGCATGATGCTGCCACCACCATGCTTCACTGTAGGGATAGTATTAGACTGGTGATGAGCGCTGACTGGTTTACTCCAAATGTAACGCCTGGCATTCACTTCAAAGAGTTCTATTTTAGTCTCATCAGACCAGAGAATTTTGATTCTTATTGTCTGAGAGTCCTTCAGATTCCTTTTGGTAAATTTCAGCTGGGGAGTGGCTTCCGTCTGGACACTTTACCATACAGGCCTGAGTGGTGGATTGCAGCACAGATGGTTGTCCTTCTGTAAAGTTCTCCTCTCTCCACAGAAGAACACTGGAGGTCAGACAGAGTGATCATCAGGTTATTGATCACCTCCCTAACTAAGGCTCCTCTCTTCTGATCACTTAGCTTAGATGGCCGGTCAGCTCTACGAAGAGTCCTGGAGGTTCCAAATATCTTCCACTTACGGATGAGGGAGGCCACTGTGCTCATTGGAACTTTCAGAGCAGCAGAAATGTTTCTGTAACCTTCCCCAGCCTTGTGCCTCGAGACAATCCTGTCTCAGAGGTCTACAGACAATTCCTTTGTCTTCATGCTTGGTTTGTGCTCTGACATGCACTGTCAACCCTGGGACCTTATATAGACAGGTGTATGCCTTTTCAAATCATGTCCAATCAACTGAATTTACCACAGGTGAACTCCAATTAAGCTGCTGAAACATCTCAAGAATGATCAGTGAAAACAGAATGTACCTGAGCTCAATTTAGAGCTTGACAGCAAAGGCTGTAACTGAGATATCAATTGTTTAGTTTTGACCAGTACGTATTCTAGTTAGGACTAGTACCTATTTTTATGTACTAGTAATTAATAATTAGGTAGTAGTACTTATTAATAAGATACTAGTACCTAGTTAATAGATACTAGTATCTATCTATCTGCTAAAAAACTGCTTAAACCAGCCTACCAGCCTGGTTTTAAAGGGGTTTTTGAGGTTGGTTTCCAGCTATTTTTTCAGTCTGGTCTAAGATGGTCAGGCCAGGAGATGACCAACTAAAACCAGCTTGACCAACCTAGCCAGGCTGGGAGCCCAGCCAAAACCAGCTAAGTCCAGGCTGGTCAATCTGGTTTTAGCTGATCATTTTTTAGCCTGACCAGCTAAGACCAGACTGGAAACAAGTTTGGAAAGGGCCAAAACCCCTTTAAAACCTGGCTGATTGACCAGCTAAAACCAGCCAAACAGCTGTTTTTTTTTCAGCAGGGTTATTAGATATTAGTGCTTGAAAGTAGTACCTATTAAATAGACACCACACTAGTTTATTATATACTAGATACTAGTATAAATATACAGGTTAAAAATTATATGTCAAAACAGCTTGCCATAGCTCTATACGCTTCAACAGTGCACTATTTGAGGGAGCAACAATTTCTAGTGGTGTCCACCACATGAACATTCTAAAGTGCACTCAATCAATCCCACAATGCACTTTAATAATTACTGTATTCAATCAGAATACATCTTATTTGTTAGGCCTATTTTGTGTTCAATTCCGTGTTTTTTTTCACACAATGCAGACTGGTTTTGAGTTTCATTATCACTACACATCTGGCTAGACAAGTTAAGATGAATAGAGACAAACAGATACGTTTCCAGCTAAATTATGATCACTGCCTTTCACAATGGCAATCCTGATATCGAGTCACGTTTATCTATTCAATCTCAAATCCACAGCACCAAAAGAAACACAAACAGCACTGAAAATGCACTGCATGTTTATTGCCTGGAGTAAAATACAAAAATACTGGTTATATGCTTCATACGGGATATAGTCATCAGACCGATTATAAGATTATACGTCTCATCCAAAATACATTAATAAAATAAACGTCTTTAAATACATTGTCTTCATGCATTTGAATTAAGTCATGACTATTGTGATTTTTACATGCTTTTGATCATTTATACTTGCTGCTATTTAAAACAATTTCCAGTATTTGTTTTTTCCCCAAATGAAAGTCAACTTTCCCATGCACACTGTGCTGTAAACTAGCTACATTAGCATACGTTAAAAGATCTTTAGGGCTAACACAACTGAACCGTTCAACCAAAGATTTGGAGTTTAGCATTTTGCAGTATCATTAATAACGCCTATATACAGAGGCTCATTAAAGGGTTTGCATTGACATGAAGAGGATTAAATACAGTACAAACAATAAAGCAGTGCAATGAATTGAAGAGCCGAGCTTCAATATTAGTTTCCTTAGAGAAAATGCAGCATATCTTGGGTTAAGTCTCTCTCTCTGACCATGCACCTTTGAGAATGCATTTAACATGAAATGGTACATCGCATATTAACGGAAAACTGGTTTATCATATGAGAGAGGTCTGTATAAAAGTTTTTAAATTTCGCTACAGCATGGTGTGCGTATGTGTAATAATACTTCAAGCTGAAAAGTCATGCAATGGGCCTCTATATATTGTCTCACACTGCAATCATAAAACTCAAAGACGCATTTAAAGGGACAGATTACCCAAAAATAAACATTTTCTCATCATTTACTCACACTCAAGTTGCTCTAAACTTGAATTTCTTACTTCTGTTGAACACAAAACAAGATATTCTGAAAAGAAAAAAAAAGTAGGAACAAAAAACAAATACTATGGAAGTCGATGATTGTCAAACATTATTCAGTATATCTTCCTTTGTGTTCAACAGAATAAAGAAGCTCAAAATAGTTTGGAGCAAGTTGAGGATGAGTAAACGATGACAGAACTTTAATTTTTGAGTGAACTATTACTTTAAAGAGCGTTTTGACCTTTGCCATCTCTGTTTTTGTTAGACAAGCCTTCATTTTTGGACAAAAATAGATGCATTCCTTTCATTAAACTATGACCTTAAAGAAGTGGTCCTGAAAGAACAACTAAACTCTGCTCCTTTTAGGCCCTCAGAAATCCCAGCTGAGACACTGCTTGCAAATAAGGAGGTAAAAAAAAAACCGACCAAGGTCTTGAGTTCCAAAATTCTGCTCAAAAAAGGACATTTCCCCCAAACAGGGCTATTTTTACTCCATACTCTATGCCTGCAAAACACACGTATACAGTAACCTAGAATAACAATCAGAAGCTCATACCAAAACTCAACAATGTCCAAAACGGGTAAAAAAAGCCTGTTACGAATGCACCTTTGCTTTGGAGTGATACATGAATGTGTGCATTGGTTTCGCCTTCTTTGAGGTCAGCAATGTATAAAGACAGTTTTAAAAGCCTTATTTATCACTGCATTCAAATCAATACCCGCAGCACAGTGATAGTTACGTCCTATATCAAACACAGTTTAGTTTTTGAGTGGCCTGAGTAAAATAACAAACAACAGTGGTATGAATAAAAACATCCACAACTTTAAATAAGACATACCACAGTCATATCATAAACTCTCGGAAATAAAGGTACGCGAGCTGTCACTGGGGTGGTAGCTTTACAAAAGGTACATGTTTTTACTTGAAGGATTCATATTGGTATCTCAAAAGTATATATATTAGTACCTACAAATTTGAACAATTTTGTACTTTTTTGATACTCATATGTACCCTTGAGGTATTAAAATGGAACTTTTAGATACAATTTTGTACCTTTTGAAAAAGTACCACGCCAGTGACAACTCGCGTACCTTTATTTCTGAGAGAGTAGGGATAAATCAAGCAAAAATGAATTTTCTGTCATTATTTACTTACTATTATGTCTTGTTTTTAATTGTGTCCACAAAATAAAAGTCAATAGGGTCAAAACTTTGTCACAAAGACAAAATTACATGGTAATATGAAGGTTTTCCCCACAATACTGACCTTTTCTTTGAGAAATATTTAACAATATCATGTAATTCTTGGAAAAAGCCTAAATCACAACACTGCATTAAGCAACAAGTTGTAAATTGTAACATTTAAAGTCAGGATTTAAAGGAAAAATACAATTAATTGCAAGATATAGTAAGATATATACTGAGAGGAAAAATCTGAATTGTGAGATTTAAAACCTGAAATCAGTAAAATAAGAGAGTTTCTAACCTAAGTTTTTTTTTTTTCAATAAAGAGTTTTTATCTTAAAATTCTGACTGTTTTCTAAGTGTATTAGTCAGTATTACAAGATATAAACTCACAATTCTGACAAGAAAAGCCTGAATTGTGGGACATTAATTAACAATTGTGACAAAACAAAAAACAATTGTTAGATAAAAGGTCACAATAGTCTTTAGAACATCTTTTTTTAAAATAAAACTATTGTTATTCCTTACCAAAAAACTAAATCCCACAATTTTGGACCCCATTGACATTCATCATGTGAGCAATTTGTGTTTATTCCAAATGATCTCGGTTTGGGCTCCATAGAACAAAGATATGATATGGTGGATGAAAACAGTAAATACATAAAGACAGAAATTCTATTTTGGGGGTGAACAATCCCTTAAAACGCAGATGAACTACCAAAAACACAAGTGATCCTGAGTAAAAGATGTCTTTAAGGAAATGTTTCGCTCCTTGTAAAGGCTGCACTGCTTTCTCCAAATGCCTGTGGAGAAATGAACAGCTTGAATCATGTCGAGCAGGTTGTGAGTGTCTATGCCATATATCCACCCACACACACACACACATGCACGCACGCACGCACGCATGCATGCACGCACGCACACGCAGTTTCTGATCTGCTGGGTCCACCGGTGGGTGTACGGCATAATGACACCAGCTGAGAACCAAAAATAAAATAACTTTGAATGGTAACAGGAATAAAATCAATGACTTAAAACAAAGATAAAACATACATATATAGGTTAAATAAAAAGAAGCACAGATTGGAGTGTTTTGTTTTAAGTGGGTGGAGGACCGTCGTAGCGGAGCATGATGTTGAAGGAGCGGGCGAAGTTGTTGGCCAGAGAACAGCTGGTGCCCTCGTCCATCATGGGCAGCAAGAAGGCCAACAGCAGCAGAGCCAGTAACAGCAGCTGGAGAGGAAGAGCCACGCGACACACACGATACAAGAAGCCCGGACCACTGCTCGCCTGCAAAACACACACGAAACACACACACTGTTACATGCTGAGTGGAAGTTTCTACAGGTGCTTTGATGCTGACAGGCATTGAATCAATCAGCTTATGCAAGAAACTGAACATGATTACCTGTAAAATTTAAATAATGAAAGAGTTATAGCAGTGCTGGAAAAAGACTAATAGCAATTAATAGCATCCAAAATTAAAGGTTTGTTTTGACATAATATATGTGTATTAAATTTATTTATTATGTATACAGTATGTGATACACACACATACAAAAAATTTTGTTACATAGATATTTAAACTGACAAATAATTTGCACCGTATATATTGTATATGGAAATTAAATAAACATTTTCTTAAAAATATGCATGACTGTGTCTATTTATTTATACAGAATAAATATACACAGTAAACACACTTGAACGGATGTCAAAACAAAATCTTATTTTGGATGTGATTGGGACAAAGTTTTGCCCTGCACAAAATTACAGTCATAAGCTAAACATTAAGTTCCTTGCACAGACCAATCATTTTGCTTCCTACGACTGCTCTGTGTTTTTGTCATTGACTGATTTTTAAATTTGTTTTGCCTGAATATGTTATTTGAATCCCCAATTTACCAGTAGCTATTGAGTTGCATTTCATAAATCATAACACATCAGGTACCATGACTTCAGCTAAAAATTGTGTAAATTATAAGAGACAATTTAAATTTTTGAGATAATTATTTTAATTATTATTACAATTTGTATATTACAATTAAATACGATCAAATTACTTACAATTACAATAAATTACAATGGAGTTTTGTAGAATTATATTGATATTTACAGTTCAGTAGAATTGTATTGATAATTCTTTAATGACTTGATTTTAAAATGATAATAAAATTAAAATCAAGTTCAGTATAATTATATTGATATTTCATTATTGACTTTGTTTTTTAATTAATTTTCAGATACGTTATAAATGTTATAGAAATACAGTGTTTCTGAAATTTTCAGATGTTGTCAAGAGTCATCAGCATCTTAAATTATCAAGTTTGGTAAGACTTTATTTTGATAGTCCCTATTGCACATTTTGTTGACTAAAAGCATTGCAACCACATGCCAATTACTGATCTCATTTGAGTATTAGTAGACTGTCTGCTTAATTTCTGTTGATACTGTTTCTTCAACACTAACTGTCTATAAGAAACTTTGCAAGTACATGTCAACCTACACTAACCCCAACCCCAACCTGACAGTCTACTTATAATCTAATGAGTATTAGTTGGCATGTAGATGCAATGTAACTTAAATTCATACAAATGCGTTAGAGACCATCAAAATATTTAGATTTCAAAAATGTACTAAAAGTGTTCTATAAAGCTACACTTTATTTTATATAATCTTTGCATCAAATTAGAAAAATAAATAAAAAATAGTTTACGCTTATGTGAGGTGTTTCTAATAGAGCATCTAAGGTTATACTAACTTTATAGTAAATTTGACATTGTTTTCGCTTCTGGCTGATGTCAGTCTCATGTATTTTGTTTTTGGAAAGTCATAAAAACACTATCTTGGAGTTTTTCTTTTTTATTTGAGCAAATTAGAATGCAAAAATGATAAATAAATACATTTGTGGTGATCTCCCAATCTTTCAACCAAGTCCCAAACCATTGGTATGAGTGGCAAAATAAAACAATACATTGTAAGTGTAAAGGTGCTTGTTTGAGTTTAAAAGTTAATTTTGAAAAGCCTGCAACAACATACTGTAGATTCTGTGCTTTAATGAACTGTTGAAATCTCTCCTGGTGGAAAATAAAAGGGCAAAATAATCCTCTCTAAACCTCTTCTAACTCCTTAATGAAGTCAGGAGATTACAAAGTAAACCCTTTGTTAGAAATTCAGGCCCTGTGACTTGATGCACAGACACGGCACTCATTTCACATTCATTAGCAATATACAGTAGGGCTAAATAAACACTTGCATTTGCAAAAAATATCACAATATTATACACGGCTGCACTTAGATTGTGGTCATGTGACAGGCCAAGGTAAAGCAGCAAGGATACATCAGGTACATCAATGTTTCCATATTTTCCCCATTGGGATTCCATGTAAACCATTTTGAGGGATGTAAACAAAAACACTGATCCCAATTTATTTCCTGTTTTACATGTTTAATTTCTACAGCTTCCGAGAATCCAAAAAGAGCCACAAATTAATAAATAATGTTATGATAGTTGTTTTAATATTAAGTTAGGATTGAATTGCGACTTGTTACAGTTGTGAAGTAGTTTGAGAACAAGCAAGAAATGTTCATGGGTCAGCAACATCACCACATTGAAATGGTCTATATATCTTATAGGGATCTCAATTGGATTCAGGTCAGGACTTTGACTAGGCCACTCCAAAGTCTTCATTTTATTGTTCTTCAGCCATTGACCTGGGTCTTTGTCCAGCTGCAGAACCCAAGTTTAGTTCAGCTTAAGGTCACTAACAGATGACCGAACATTCTCCTTCAGGATATTTTGCTACACTGCAGAATTCACGGTTTTCAAACACTTTTTCTCACAGCGCTATGCAGTTTCAGATTTAGTTTCTTATTTGCATTTGAATAATGTGGGTTACATCTAGTGACTTTGTAGGGTCATAGTCCTCTTTAGACTTTACACCCAAATTCATTCATTTGGCTTAGTCCCTTTTTTAATCTGGGGTTGCCACAGTGGAATGAACCGCCAACTTACCCAGCACACGTTTTACGCAGCGGAAGCCCTACCAGCTGCAAGCCATCTCTGGCAAACATCCATACATTCTCATTCACACTAATACACTACGGACAATTTAACCTACCCAATTCACCTGAACCGCATGTTTTTGGACTGTGGGGTAAACCAGAGCACCCAGAGGAAACCCACGCAAACGCACGTAGAACATGCAAACTTCCCACAGAAACGCCAACTGACCCAGCCGAGGCTCGAACCAGCGACCTTCTTGCTGTGAGGCAACAGCACTATCTACTGCGCCAATGCGTCGCCTACAGCCAAATTATTAAAATGAATTATTGATGATGTAAGTAGTGATGCAATTTGCTAATTATACAAACATCAGCATAAGTCAGCTTTGCACTAATACTGTATTGGACACACTATCAAGCATTATTACTTGTCTTCGTTGACATACACAGGATAAGGGGTCTTAAAAACTGGATATTAAATCAAATGCAATACTGGTCAAAATAATCGTTCATATGATAACACATATGAACATATTTAAAAATCTGTCGGCTGGTGAAAAACTGTCTCAGACAAATGTAAACGTGTAAATGAAGTTTTTCAAGCCGCTGTAGAATTGTAGGAGTGAATGTCCACCCACAGCCGCCATCGGGCCGTGAAATATCTGAACTGAATACGACCCCTCTCTATTAAACGCCTCTGTAGCGGAGCTGAGGAAAGAGCGCAGAAGTAAGAGAAAGTGAGGAGGTGGAGATGTGGGTGGATGAAAAAAACCCAAATCTCTTTGCACACTTTTCTTTTGACAGCTTTTATTCAAGAGACTGTGATTACGCTAAAAGGTGAGGATGGCAGTGTTCAGGTCTGCTGGAATGCAGAGAACAACTGACTGTCCTTATAGAAGATGCACATCATCCAATCATCAGAAAACAGAAAAATATACTCGATCAAAACAAATAATTACAGATGTTATGTGCGCAGCCTGCAATTACAGCAGCTGAAAGAGAACGTCATTGTCAACTGAGGTGTCATCTTCACAATTAGATAATTGTATTTGGTCAGTGACGGAGACAATTGTGGTGTGTGGAGAATGTTTATTTACCCTTCATGATAATAACAGATCACTAAGACAGCAAAAAGTGATGACAGTTTTCACGACAGTTGAACAACATAGTGGACAAGATGCAGTTTAAAACAGTCTAATTTTTATATTACATTATATATATATATATATATATATATATATATATATATATATATATATATTTTTTTTTTTTTTTTTTTTCCCTGTTTATTTTTTGTTAATTTTTCTGTTTATTTTTTCCTAGATTTCTGTTTAACGGAGAAAAGATTTCTTCAACACATTTCTAAACATAATAGTTTTAATAACTCATTTCTAATAACTACTTTATTTGATCTTTGCCATCATGACAGTAAATAATATTTGACTAGATATTTTTCAAGACACTTCTATACAGCTTAAAGTGACATTTAAAGGCTTAACTAGGTTAATCAGGTTAACTAGGCAGGTTAGGTTAATTAGGCTAGTTATTTATTGTACAACGATGGTTTGTTCTGTAGACTATCGAAAAAAAATATAGCTTAAAGGGGCTAATAATTTTGACCTTTTGAAAATGCTTTTGTAAAAAAATTAAGAACTGCTACTAATAATTAAGACTTCAACTGTATATATATATATATATATATATATATATATATATATATATATATATATATATATTTTTTTTTTTTTTTTTTTAAATATTGCTAACAAAAACTATAACTTTGTACGTTCTCTTTTTATCAGCTAATCCTAAAAGTGAAATGTATCATTGTTCCTATGATATTATGAAGCAAGAAAACAGATAATTTTAAAGAACCATTATTAGTGATTTTGTAAAAATTTTAACAGCTTATTATGGAATAGCAACACTTGATATTATACTGATTTCTAAAGGATCGCGTGGCAATGAAGACTGGAGTAATTATGGTGAATATAAAGCTTTTTATTACTGAAATAAGCTTTATTTGAAACTACATTTAATGAGAAATTATTTTATTTTAAAATGTACATTGTATTGACTCTATAAATCTGATCAAATAACAATGCAGAATGTAATTCCTTTAAAACATTAACAAATCTTACGGTTTCCAAACTTTTGGATGTTAGTGTGTATTTAAAATATATTATGTCAAAACTAAATTAGTTGTTGTCAAATAAACTATGGGTTATAATAAAGGGCAACAGTTTGGTTCTGGAAGGCAAACTTTTATATTGTATATAATGTGTGATGTGATATATATATATATATATATATATATATATATATATATATATATATATATATATATATATATATATATATATATATATATATATATATTACTGACTCTATAAAAAGGATGTTGTTTAGATTTAAAAGCCACTGATACATACCAAATATTAAAGTTATAAATGTAGAAAAGCACTACGACTTTACCTTATAAATTCATGTTTTAGAGGCTAAAAAGGGTCAATAATTTTACATCTGCAGATGTTCTAATATTTTGGCTGTACAATATTTGCAGAACAAGTTCAATCAAAGCATCTGTGCTAAGTCTTGATAATAGCACAGAAATGCTGCATGAGCAAAACGACAATCTCCATGCACTGTTATCTGCTTATGTAAACAATGCAGTCAGACTCAGAACAGCCTTTATAAGCAGTGAGCAGCAGGACACCTGCGTCTCTCCTCAAGCAGACGTGACCGACACTAACAGATGGCCAGAGACTGAAGGAGTGAGAGAAGAGGTGCAAAAAAAGGTGTGAACGCTGCGAAAATAGAGAAATAACTCAGAAAGATTAACAGACTCCCCAGAGAAACGCTGTGGTGAAACTGCCTACATGTTTCCAAGTGGCCCATGGAGCCAAAAAATAGCATTTGTTTTTTGGGGGCCGAGATGGTACTTTGGTCCAGGATTTCAAAAAAGCTATTTATGAAGCTCTTTTTCAAAAGCCGTCCTTACTAATCCAGCCGGAAAGGGTCTCAACTCACTTGCCAAGGCTTATGAACGATTTAAGTCAACATGAAACACCATTCACAGCTTATTTTACTGATGTATTTCAGTGCGAAATGCAATATTCAATAAAAAAACAATTGCAACAAACAGTTAAAGGTATTGTACATTCAAAACTGCTCTTCATTTACTCCAGGTTTTAAAACTTTTATTGTTTCTGTTGAAGACAATTGAAGATATTTTGAAGAATAGCCACTGAAATCCATATTATGAACTAAAAACACAATAAAAGTCAATAAATATGTTTCCAACATTATTTAAAATATCTTCTTTTGTATTCAATTTAAGTAAAAAAAAAATGAGTAAATGGTAACATGGTTCAGGATCGGTAGAGCTACGCATCGATGAATTTGCTCTTCAGTGTTCGGACTCTCAGTAATGATTTTAAACCACACTGAACTGAGCTGAACTGAACAGTACTGAACTTAAACACTAAAAACTGAACTACCCTAATCCAGTTACTATGACCATTTATGTGAAGCTGCTTTGACACAATCGACATTGTAAAATCGCAATACAAATAAAGCTGAATTGAATTGAACAGAATTATCATTTCTTGGTGAATTATTTATTTCATTTGTCCTTTAAAATGAGCTTCTGTGGGAATAAAGTGCACTGCGAAAAGTGCAAGGGAAATATGTAAATGGATATTTTTAATGTTATCGTTATTGGCCCGATGTCAAAATTAGGCCGATAGATTACGTTATTGTACAGAACTGCCTGTCTCGCACATGCGTGGGTCAAACTTGTTCAGATTTGTCTAGTGCACCATAACGGAGCTTACCTCACATTGTTTATTTCTTAAAAGTCTGTCCTTTCTTTGTGCGGTATTGTTGTGCATCAATATTTCAGTAAGTGATTATGCTCCTTATCATTGTGGATATGTTTGATAGAGTGGCATTGTGTATTTTGCTTTAAATCGCCTCAGGAAAAATACTATCTGTATTTAGCTTGTCGCTTGTACGGTGGCTTTGACCTCTCAAAACGCTTTTTTGTACATGACTTATTTCTACATATGTACATTACTACGACAAGTTTTACTCAAGAACATTTAAGCTGGTTTCAGTTCTTTCATTTTCATATTCATTTGACTTGTCTTTAGTTGTAATGAAATCTCATTTTGTTATTTAACCTGTTATTTTTTATGCAACAGTCAAGTTGCATGTTAATTTGCTATGAAGAAAAGGAAATAATTTATTTTTGGCATGATCATTTATGTGAAATCGTGAATATAGGTCTATATAATCACCTTGCAGTTTTGAAATAATTGCTTTTTTTGCTTTGAGTAGGCTATTCCGTTCATAAGATCAGATCAAACTCTGAACTGGGTCTGAACTGAGAACTGTATCTAGTTTAATGCTAAGTGATAACAAATATACAAATACCCTCCCATATATTACATGAAATCAATTCACAATTATTATTCACCAGCCTTTACACTGTAAGAATACTCTAAAGAAACAAACTCCACCCGCACTAGTTGTGTGTCAATGGATAAACACTGCGTTCAATTCTACTTGAAAGTTGAAAAGAGAATATCTTCCTTTTGCAAAAAGGCTTCAAATGTCTTCTTTTTTAAAACACACTTTAAACACAAGCTCCTCACAGCATGAAGGTATTTGTTTGAAGAATAAAGCCTACCTTTCCAGATCGGACATGCTCTTGTATTTGTCCACCGACACTCTGAAACGCACAAACATTTGTTTTAGTTAAATACGGCTACAGGCTGCTGCCCCCTTCTGGTGGGCACATGCTACTACAGCAACATCTGCATTGGAGAATGGAGAATTCATGTATAGTTGATAAATGGCTCTGTCCTGGTTTTCATCAATAAAATTGTGTTCACCATTTTGCAAAACAAAAGATAACTAAAAGAAGAAGAATTTTTTATATCACAAGACAAAAAAAGTTTAAAGCAACCTCATTTATGCTGGGTTATTTATTATGCACGCACGCACGCACGCACGCACGCACGCACGCACGCACGCACGCACGCACGCACACACACACACACACACACACACACACACACACACACAATACCAAATAAAGTTTAAAATCATTGACAGCAGAATAAACAGATTTTCAGTGTGTACCTCTTTCAGATCAGCAGCCTCTTTGAGCTTGGATTTGTATAACATCCAGCGATACCGCAGCTCTTCCAGCTCCATGTCCTCCACTGATCTATGCTGCTGATCTTCCAACAGTTTCTGGAACTGACTCTGACCCCAGACTACACCTGCACGCAAATCCTGGATGGAAAAAAACCACAACACAGAGCTACCTGAAGATGTGTGCTCATTATTGGATCATAATCCATTTATTTTCATTTTAAAACTGACCCAATCCTGCCTCGACAACTTCTTGTCAAGCATATGATCAAACAAGCTTTTGTGGTTTTGTGACGCAAGCAAACTACGCATCAATAGTTTAGAGTCTGCGAGATTTTTCAGTGTTTTTAAAGTGTCTTGTCCTCATCAAGGTTGCTTTACTTTATTTTATCACCATTTTAAGCATCTTTCAATCATTATATTCTGATTTGGCTCAAGTTTTTATTCTAAATTAAGATGTTTTTTTGATGAATAATATAAAAAGAAATAAAACCGTCTGCTAAATAACAAAATGCAAAGTACATTAGGGCTGCACGATACTGGAAAACTATGCAAAATGCAATAATATTGTTGTTTATTGCGATTATGATATTTCTTATTAAATAAAAATCCACTAGAAGAATGCTATTTTTTATTAGCCATGTTTTTAAATCATTTATTCATTGATATTAAAATAAACAGGTAAAATAAATGATTCAGATCTATTTAATTCTAATTCAGACTTACAAACTTTGTCATAGTAAAAAACATTTAGTCTTTAAAACACCATTAATGAATAAAAAAAACTATTCGGACTTGCTGTAATTTTCCTCATTTTCCTCCATAAGTATTTATAATTAGCTCTGGGTTCACCTTTGTGCCGCTCCAGCCAATAGCAGAACAGCAACTACTGGTCATGCGGGGATAAAGACATTAAGGCCTTATCTGATTGGTCAAATTGAGATAAACAAGCACTGCATGAAATAAATGTACTACACGAAATACACGGCTAACTATTCCATATGTTTTACGCAGCGGATGCATGATCTGTGGTAGTCTGTGAACAAAAACATTTTACATTGTTTACAATTTAAATGTTGTTTTCCTAATAGTTATTAAAGGTGCAGTGGGTGATTGTCTTCAGAAGCATTTTTTGTTGTGCTGGTTAAAAGTCTCTTCACAGTCCAATAGTAATTATTCAAGTAAATGATCTAAACGTGTTTATATGTATTTTTATATTTTGGATAAGGCATAAAACTAAAAAATGTTCATCCAATTAAATAGAGTCGGACCGACATCTCTCATAATTCCGATAAGTAGGCGAATATGTCTGTCAGCAAATGTGGATTTGAATAATTGCGCAGCCGTTTGTACGCATCTCCGCCGACCGCTGTTGGTGCCGCACGTTTATGAAAGAGGGTACGCGTGCACGATCGGTGAAAACCTGCTTAATCAAAACTTTTTTAAAAAACCTGAATCAATATTGGAGTTACCTTTGCATGCAGGAGAAAGGATGACACAATGGCTGAAGGATTTCTCTTAGACAGGTAATGTTCTGTTTTAAAACTATTTTAGCATTATGCAAAGCTGATGTAACGTTTGATGTCGTTACAAATGGGTTATATCTTCACAGAACTTTTGTTCAGCCACTAAAATTTTTTGATAAAAGATTGATAAGACTATTTTCAGTTTCATAAGGGACTTTTACAGCATCTATAATGTAGATTTTAATTAGTTTAACAACAAAACACAAGTAAATAGCGCTATTCCGCCTAGTCTCCCCCTATACTGTTTACCATGCAACTCTGATATTCACTCTGAAATAGCATGTCAGTTTGGCTTGCTCGCCGCCGGACAAGCACTAGTCGCTTTTAACACATGAGAGAGGGTTCTTTTGCGGTGCTCGTGTTTAAGGAGGTGTGGCTCTAGACGGCAGGGGAGGGAGTGTTATTCAGAGATTTATGCTAAGCTGTTAGCATTGTGGAAGATCACCTACTGCACTTTCAACTTTATCATACCAATTAACATTTTTTAGTTTTTTTTGTTCAGTTTATTTTCATCACCATCTGGGGCATAAGAACAGGATGTGTTTGTAAAAGCAAACTTCAATATTGTTTATTTACACGTTTGCTGGAAATTAGAAATTAATTTAGAAATAGTTTTGAAACAAATCTTTGCGCTTAACAAACAAAATTAAATACTGTAACAGTTTTCCTGTTACTATTTGAAATATCTACCTGTAGTAGCTATCTCACCCATTAGAGGGCGATCTAGGTAGTAAGTCTCCAATCTGCTTAAAAGGAGGTAGTGAAGAAGCAGTAGGCAGGAAGTATGGTGCCTAGCACATGGAAAGGCTTCTTCACTGCGCTGTTGTTTGTTGATGCCCTTATTTGAGGAACATTTTTGTTCTTATATCTCAGATGTAAGTAGGCCTGTTTTTTGTATATATTTCGGTTTTGTACATATGTTTTGTGTAGGGTTGGCAAGGTTTTGATTGTATGTTTGTTTATATGCAGAGGGTTTTTGGTATCCACTTTAAGTCATCAAAACAGGACCTGGACAATCCATCCTCATATCCACAGACTTTTTCCATCCACTTTCCTACTGATTCTGTGGCCAGCCATTGATGAACTGTTTGCTGAACTTGATCTTTCATGTGATTCACTTAAGGACTGTTGGTATCTTTTTTGGATTGCTATAAATACTAGATTCAATGAGAAAGACACTTATCGAATGCTTATTTCTGTCTAATAGTGATCATTAATGAGTTGACTGCTGATCATTTCATATCCCCAGTGTGTAACAATAATTATTCATACCTGCTGTCATATACATTTCTAAATACACATGAATCTCTGAAAGTTGTTTTGTGGTCTCTCAATTTCTTTAACGTAACTTCAAAAAAAAGTAGTTGTTACATATTTGGCGCCCGAACAGGGACAAAATTTGATTGAATTCTTGAGAGATACATTCTGCTTTCTTTGAGTCATGTTTTTGTTAATGTGTCTATGAGGCCATAATTTCAAAAGTCCTAACATTACACTCTATTTCAGCATTCTAAAGTTGACATTATTTGAAGAGCTTTAGTAGCTTCAAAATGGCTGCCTTGGCTAAAGAGACAGAGGGTGATGATTCTTTGTTACCTGATTATTCTTCAGAGCCTTTCACTACTCATCGAGAGCCTATTCAAGACCTTATTCATTCTCTCGCTAGCTTGTACTTGGAAAATGAACCTGAAATTGGTGAACAAGAAGAAGGGGATTTTGATGATTCTTTGTTACCTCCTCCACCTCCTACAATTGAAGATGATGATAGCTTGTTAACAATGATTATGGCCACACGAATGCATAAAGTTGAAAGTAGAGTTGAAGCATTTGAAAATTCCTCTGATGTTCGTTTCAAAGACATTCAGCATCAGCTGAATGAACAAAGTAATAGGATTGCTGTCATTGAGAGTCAGGTCCAGCACATGCTAAAACAGTACCAAGATCACCCCATAGATGTACAACAGCTCGAGAATTCGTTATCTACCATGTTAAAGAAGGAGTGTACCCAAGTGAAAGATACTTTAGAAACAAAGGTTCAAGAGTTGGGGCAAGCAATTATGGATTGCCTGAAACGGAGAGATGGACAATTGAAATCATTAATCCAGCCTTCTGGGGGTGCAACGTCTACTCCACACTTCAGCCACACCATATTAGACCATGGATCTTGTCGTCCTGTACATTTTAAGACTCCTATCAAGCTAGAGTTTCCAAAATTTGGGAGTTTAGATGGGGAAGACCCTATTACATACCTGGAACGATGTGATGAATATCTGGCTGTACAACCTTTAAATGACTCTGAGATCATATCCATGCTTCCTTCTGTATTGACACACACAGCTAAAGACTGGTGGGTAGCCGAGAAGAAGAGGGTAAGAACATGGACACAATTCAAGTCTGTTTTTCTTCAATCTTTCTTAGCAGATGATCATGATGTTGAAGTGGAAAGAAGGATCAGAGAAAGGAAACAAGGGGTTGATGAAAGTATTCGAACATTTGCCTACCAGTACAGAGCATTATGTCTGAGACTGAAACCTTCCATGACAGAGCGTGAGATTCTCCAAGCGACACTACGGAACTGTAACCCAAGAATAGCAAGCATTTTAAGAGGTACTGTAACTACTGTAGATGAGTTGGTACGTGTAGGAACACTTATAGAAAAAGATATCAATGAAGAAAGATCATTTTGGAGACAGAGGCACCAAGAAGCTAATGCAAAGTCCACTGAGGGTAATACATTTTTTAAGGGCCGACAGTCGAACCCTCACATAGCTGTATGTTCTGATATCAGTGAAAGATCTCCTGTCACATTAACATTGCCCTTAACTATTAAAGGTCATCAATATCAAGCAATTCTGGATACTGGGAGCACTTACTCTTTAATTCAAGAGTCCTGCTGGAAACGACTAAAGTCAAATCATGAAGTTTTGCAATCGAGTAGAGGACAGTCCTTTTCTCTTGCAAATGGATGTGTACAATCAGCCTTGGGGAAAATAGCTTGGCAGGCTACCATCCACAGACATGACTATCCTATCAGAGCATATGTAATGAAAGATTGTGACTTGGCTTTTCCTGTTTTGTTGGGCCTGGAATTTTTGAAGATGTCTGGAATCACAGTCGATTTTAGAAATTCTTCCTATTCTTTACCTGAAGAATATGGGGTAATCCACTCCTTCACCTCTTCCTCCCCTTCACTAATAGTAAGTCTGCACCTTGCACTACCTCTAATACCAACGCCTTCTACTGATCTAACCATTATAAAGGAGTTAGTGGATCGAGCTGATGTCTCTAAAGCCCATAGACGTCAACTAGAAGGACTGATGCTTGATTGGCCCACTGTATGCACTGAAACTTTAGGTCAAACCAACTTGATTCATCATCAAATCCATACAATTGATGAAATTCCTGTGCGAAAGAAGGCCTATCCTGTTCCAGTCAACAAACAGAAGTTTATAGATGAGGAAATAGCAAGAATGCTTGACAAAGGCATTATAAGACCTTCTGTATCTCCATGGGCATCACCAGTTGTACTTGTGCCTAAAAAAGATGGCAGTACCCGCTTTTGTGTTGATTATAGAGCTTTGAACTCCAAGACTCCTCTTGATGGGTTTCCAATGCCTCAAATTCAGGATATCCTTGAGTCCTTGTATGGAGCAACCATATTTAGCACATTAGACCTCAAATCTGGCTACTGGCAGGTAAAAATGGATGAAGACAGCATCAAAAAGACTGCTTTTGTCACCAAAAATGCCCAATATGAGTTTCTTCGTCTTCCTTTTGGCCTGCGAAATGCTGCTGCAACCTTTCAGAGGCTCATGAACAATGTTCTGAGAGACTACATGGGAGAGTTTTGCTTTGTCTATCTTGACGACATTGTGGTTTACTCAAAAACCATCCAAGATCACTTTCAACATCTCAAGCTACTCTTTGCAAAATTGCAAGACTCTGGTTTAACACTCAATCTCAAGAAATGTTCTATGTTGCAGAGGACCATTACTTACCTAGGACATGTTGTTTCTGAGGAAGGAGTACGGACTGAAGACACTAAAATCAAAGCAGTTCAGGATTTTCCTGTCCCAAAAAATCTCAAAGAGGTACAGAGATTTTTAGGTCTTGCTAGTTGGTACCATCGGTTCATTTCTCACTTCTCAGAGCGAGCTGCTCCATTGTATGCACTGAAAGGTAAGAATGCAATCTGGAACTGGACAGTTGAATGTCAAAATGCCTTTGATGATCTCAAATATGCACTACAACGAGCACCAGTATTAATGCCCCCGGATTTCACCAAAGTCTTTAGAGTGCAGACTGACGCCAGTGACATAGGACTAGGAGCTGTATTGACACAGGATTTTGATGGTGCAGAACACGTCATTGCCTATGCTTCACGTCTTTTACATGGAGCAGAAAAATCATACTCCACTGCAGAGAAGGAATGTCTTGCGGTCGTGTGGGCTGTAGAGAAGTGGAGGCAGTATTTGGAAGGACGAAACTTTGAAGTACTGACGGATCATTCTGCGCTGACTTGGGTTTTCAATAACCCTAAACCATCTTCACGCTTAACCAGATGGGCATTACGACTACAATGTTTCAGTTTCCTGGTCAAGTACCGTAAGGGGTCCTGCAATGTGGTACCTGATGCCCTATCCAGAGGTATACCAGGGCAAGAGGTTGTAGGTCATATTGCCATCTGCCAGGCTAACAAGACTGATCCTAATTTGCCAGTCAGCTGGGATGAAATTGGGAAAGCTCAGAAGCTTGATTCTTCTTTGCAAGCTCTATGGGAAGCAGCTAAGCAAGCCACCACAGATTCCAGCCGCATTGCTTATTGTGTACAGAATGACTACCTCTTTCGCAGGGTGCCTAACAAAGATCAAGGGTGTGTTTACCAACTAGTCATCCCTGCATCACTGAGAGAACAGTTTTTACACTTCGCCCATTCAAATCCACTGAGTGGACACTTAGGAAGGATGAAAACCTTGAAGAGATTACTTGACAGTGTCTATTGGCCTGAAATCCGTAAGGATGTTTGGAGCTTTTGCACCCAGTGTAAGACTTGTCAAATATATAAACCGAGAATCTCGAAACTGTCTGGATTGTTGCAGTCAACACCCGTAGTAGAGCCTGGCTATATGCTGGGAGTGGATCTAATGGGTCCTTTCCCAAAAAGTAATCGATCGAATGAATTCTTATTAGTCTTTGTGGATTATTGCAGCAAGTGGGTGGAACTTTTTGCTTTAAGATCTGCAAAAACTCACCTCATAACTAACATCTTGACAAAAGAGATGTTCACTCGATGGGGAACTCCAGCATATCTCGTCTCTGACCGCGGCCCTCAATTTACAGCCCAATTGCTCAATGAGACCTGCAAGCGATGGGGAGTAGTTCAGAAGCTCAGTACTGCCTATCATCCGCAGACCAACTTAACTGAGAGGATAAACCGAACCCTAAAAACAATGTTGTCCTCTTATGTCCATGACAATCACCGGGACTGGGATAAATGGATCCCTGAGTTCAGGTATGCCATTAACTCAGCATGGCAGGAAAGTACGGGTTTCACTCCAGCTGAAGTTGCTTTGGGACGTAAGTTGAAGGGTCCTCTAGACAGGCTGATCCAGAGACCACCTAATCCAGACCATCTAGCATATAACACCCTTGAAAGGCAGAAAGCTTTCCTTGAGCAAGTGATTGCAAAGACCAGCCAAGCACAAGAGAGACAAGGAAAATACTACAATCAACGTAGAAAACCAAAGTCCTTTGAGGAAGGAGATTTGGTTTGGATCCTCACACACCCTCTGTCTCGAGCTGCAGATTCCTTTATGGCCAAATTAGCTCCGAAATGGCAAGGTCCTGGCAAAATTGTAAAAAAGGTAAATAATGTCAACTACAGAGTGGTAATGCTTGATAAACCCAGTCAATGTGATACTTACCATGTGGAAAAGTTGAAGGAATTTTATGGAACTGTATAACTCTTTTCTTTAGGGGAAGGGGTGTGTAACAGTTTTCCTGTTACTATTTGAAATATCTACCTGTAGTAGCTATCTCACCCATTAGAGGGCGATCTAGGTAGTAAGTCTCCAATCTGCTTAAAAGGAGGTAGTGAAGAAGCAGTAGGCAGGAAGTATGGTGCCTAGCACATGGAAAGGCTTCTTCACTGCGCTGTTGTTTGTTGATGCCCTTATTTGAGGAACATTTTTGTTCTTATATCTCAGATGTAAGTAGGCCTGTTTTTTGTATATATTTCGGTTTTGTACATATGTTTTGTGTAGGGTTGGCAAGGTTTTGATTGTATGTTTGTTTATATGCAGAGGGTTTTTGGTATCCACTTTAAGTCATCAAAACAGGACCTGGACAATCCATCCTCATATCCACAGACTTTTTCCATCCACTTTCCTACTGATTCTGTGGCCAGCCATTGATGAACTGTTTGCTGAACTTGATCTTTCATGTGATTCACTTAAGGACTGTTGGTATCTTTTTTGGATTGCTATAAATACTAGATTCAATGAGAAAGACACTTATCGAATGCTTATTTCTGTCTAATAGTGATCATTAATGAGTTGACTGCTGATCATTTCATATCCCCAGTGTGTAACAATAATTATTCATACCTGCTGTCATATACATTTCTAAATACACATGAATCTCTGAAAGTTGTTTTGTGGTCTCTCAATTTCTTTAACGTAACTTCAAAAAAAAGTAGTTGTTACAATACTGTATGCAGGCTAATAGATGTCTTCAGTTGAGTGTGTACAACATCGTTTCCTTATCCATGAAAGTAAAGAAGTAAAGAGTAAAAGTAAAGAGAAAGTAAAGAGGCCAAATGAAGGAGGCTCGTTCTTTATCCTTGCTGCAGATGGCCTGTTTAACTGTTTTCTTGCTAGTAAAACGATCAGTTTTTCCACTTACAAAAGTCTGCCATGTAAATAGCAAATGCACCATGCCGCAATGCATCTAACTCTTAAAAGGAATGGGAGGAGACACTGATTGGTTTAACGCTCGTTATGCTCAAAACACACCCATAACTCATTACTAGAATAAGCACAACCCTGTTAGACCATGCGCCAGGGCACAAAGGTTATTTATTCATATTAAAAAAAGCAAAGTAGATTTGGACACAGCCTTAATGCTTTTGCACCATGCGCTTCAGACTTTGTCCCTAGATGGTTAAAATAGAGCCCACTATCTCTTTTAAAAAACAATTTAAAAACAAGTCTTTTTCGGAACAGCTCTATCTGCATGGCATATTCAACAGGAAGACCGCATATGAACCGCCGTTTAAAAGCTTTCTCAAATCTGAGCTGTGAAGCTGTGACTGAACAAAAAAACAGCATGACGCCGAGTCTGTCAGCTCAGCTATCATCAGATGTGACAGATTCTAGGTAGTTGTAAAGCTTGAATTTCTCAAAGCCTGAGGTAAAAAACCTGAGCCCGGCCTTCAAAAGAGCTTCACAGATCAGCAACTGCACTGATGTAAAGGTACGTATGGCACTCTACACACCAGATTCACACAGACATGCGTCTTCATATACTGAAAAATGATCCAGCATGTTCTGAGTGTGACCAAAGTAAAACATCACACTGCGCTTTGTTGAATAAGATATCAAAGCTATCAAAGATTGTTTTCTACGCTAACACTTTTTGATATTTTGGACTCGACATGAAACTTTAATCAAAAACAGATAAAAAAGAAAGCAAAAAATAAAAAAAAATGTAACAAACACCACCAACCTTGAGTGTATTCTGTCTTATCCTCAGTTCTTTAGCGCTCAGGGATCTTTGGTTGCTCAAAATTCCTGTGAGTTTGTCGTTTTGCTTGTGAAGCCACGCTTCAAACTGGCTCCTCTGGGCCTCCGTATCAGCAGGACGTCGGGGCCCCTGAGAACCCGTCTGCGGGAGGAATGAAAAGAAACATCCCTCTGTCCGATTATGATTGCAGCTAAGGTATCGCTCGCTTAATAGTGGCTTCAGGGCTGGGTGATCTAGCTAAAAAAATTATTTTGATGTTTTTCCAAGTCTTTTGATGAATTTTCACTTCTTTTTTTATGTATTTGGTCTGAAATGACCTTAAAAGTTTTTCTCTTAGTAGTAAATTACAGTACAAATCCAAATTTTAATTTAAAATGATTCGTACATATTTACAAATTTAAAATTTGTCAAATTTACAAATTTAAAATGATTCGTTTTTTTCCTATTTATTTACCATTAAATTAAAATCACAATTTGGTACACTTTGATGACAACTGAGGATGAAATTACACTTAGGTATTCTTTGACATGTCTATAAAAGTTTGTTTTACAGTGCACTAAAATACTGATTGGTGACATACAGTTGAAGTCAGAACTATTAGCCCCTCTTTGAATTTATTTTTCTTTTTTAAATATTTCCCAAATGATGTTTAACGGAGCAAGAAAATTTCACAGTGTGTCTGATAATATTTTTTCTTCTCAAGAAAGTCTTATTTGTTTTATTTCAGCAAGAATAAAAGCAGTTTTAAATTTTTTTAACACTATTTAAAGACAAAATTATTAGTCCCTTTAAGCTATATATTTTTTCGATAGTCTACAGAACAAACCATCGTTATACAATAACTTGCCTAATAAATACCTTAACCTGCCCAGTTAACCTAATTAACCTAGTTAAGCCTTTAAATGTCTTTTTAAGCTGTATAGAAGTGTCTTGAAAAATATCTAGTCAAATATTATTTACTGTCATCATGACAAAGATAAAATAAATCCGTTATTGGAAATGAGCTATTAAAACTATTATGTTTAGAAATGTGTTGAAAAAAATCTGCTCTCTGTTAAACAGAAATTGCGGAAAAAAATAAACAGGGGGGTAATAATTCTGACTTCAACTGCATTAACTACTTATTATTATACTGTATATGCATAGATCCTAAGACTTGTTTTTATTTTACAAAACAAGTACAGAAGATTTGGGTCTACTTCGATCTACCAACAAAATACAGGGTCTACTTTTATTTCTACCTGTAATAAGCTACAGTAACATATTCTTGGGTTGCAAGTCTTTTGATAAGACTCTTTTTTCTGTATTTGGTTTGAAATTAACTTTAAAGTTTTTCTCTTTATAGTATATTACAGTACAAATCCACTTTAAAATAATAATTTTTTCCCTACTTAATTAACATAAAATTAAAACTCCAATTTGTTATTTTGATACACGTCTATAAAAGCGTTTAACAATTTTTATTTTATCAAGAGACGATATTTTAAAAAAATATTGGAAAGTGTTTATTTCTACTATAGACATCAGTGACTACAACATTCTTCAAAATATCCTCTTTTGTGTTCAACACAAGAAAGGTTTGTAAAAAAAACATCTTGAGGTCGAATAAATTTTGAGTAAAGTTTCATTTAAGGGTGAATTATGTCTTTATGCCCGCCCAGTAAAAAAGTCATAAACATATTCTGATCATTCTCACCAGTGTGTCATCATGTCTGATCTGTGATGGCTTCATCCTTTTCTGTGCAACTTCAGGCTCTGTTTCATATCTGCCATGCATGTCCAGTTCATCAATACCAGAACTAGTCATGTGTTCTGTAACCCAATCCCCAGTCCAACCAGCACTCCCGACCAAGTCACCTCCCCCCTTCATCTCCATCTGCATTTTCTTTCTGTTTACAGTACGGTTAACTCCAGACGTGACTGCATCCACCTCATCATCCAAAGACTGGTCGAGGACACTTCTCTCTCTTCTCCAGACTTCTGAATCTCTAGGACTTGGGATGCTTCCGAGGACAATGGCTGGAATTAGATCCTGGTCTGCTTCCGTGCTTCTCTCCAGCTCTTGAAGACCCGTTGATTCTGCTTCATGATGGAATCTCAGAAGCGGATCTGGTCTTTTATCACCTGTGATTAGACATATGTCTATATTAAATACAGTGGGGGAAATAAGTTTTGAACATGTTTTCATGTCATGTTTTTTCCTGGGAATATTTCTAAAGGAGCTGTTGACATGGAATTAAACCAGATTTTGGTAAAAACCCAAACAAAACAAACATAAAAATAAAACAAAACAAATGAGTTATGTGTAATAACAATGGAATGACACAAGGAGAAAGTGCTGAACTACTGAAATGTATTTAATACTCTATATAAAAGGCTTTTTTTTGGTGATGGCAGCTTAAAGATGCCACTCATATGGAGAATGAAGTCACATGAATTGTTCAGATGTGAGTTTTTTACAGACTTCAACAAATTGTAAAAATCTTGATGGTTCTATGGGTCTCGTCTATTAAATTCGATCATTATTTTGTATTCTCTATTGAATTTACATCAGGTGATTGGCTAGGCCATTCTACAGCTTGATTTTCTTTCTCTGAAAGCATTTGAGAGTTTCCTTGGTTGTGTTTTGGATCATTGTCTTGCTGAAATGTCCACTTTGGTTTCATCTTCATCATCCTGCTAATGTAGATGTTGGACTGAAGCAGCTAATATTAATTTACAATGGCGAAGGGCAAGACGAATGTTGCTTTCTAACTACTAAGAGAATTCAGCTGCTGTCTGGGTTATATTGCCTTTCTACAGCTCATCTTCATCATGTATTCAATACTTTTTCCCAGTGTCACTTGATTTTATTACACATAACTTCATTTGTAAACAAATTAGATTTGTTTTCTTAGCATATATGGATTTCTTTGGTTGCAATCAACATTCGGTGAAAATTTTTCGTGCGATTTAAACGTTTAGAAACTAAACTAAAGAGACTAGCGAGCAATTTTGAAGAATTTGATGTTTATCCAATCAAACAGAATGCCCGAGCATACTGCCCATGAGACATTTCAAAAAAGGCTGCGCGAAGTCACTTGCCTTAAAGGAACTTTAGAATAGCAGGAATAATGACGCTGCCTTGATTGCTACATTAAATGAAGCAATGTTGACATTGTACAATCCAAAATTTAAGACCATGTAAAATAGAATGTAAGACTTTTTAATACTTTTTAAAGGCCTTAAATCTCTCTGAATTATTTTATCGATGTTTATTACTTTTCAAGACCCCGCGGACACCTTGTTACAAAAAACAAAACAAATTATCGCTTATGCGAGGTGTTTGTAATGCGGTGTCCATGGGGCTGAGAGTAAATTTGACGTAATTTTCTCCTCTGGCTGCCGTCAACAGTCTCACACTATTTGTCTCCTTGTTCTAAAAGTCTTAATAACAGCATCATGGACTTTTTCTTTTATTATTTCAACAAATAGATTGTAAAAAAAATATTTAATGTACTCTCCCATTCACTGCACTCCACATTTACCCAACTACGACAACTTCCGCTGCTGAGAAACCCAGAAATGTGAAAAGGGTTTATTGTACAGTGTTACCGATTTCACTTTGTAATAAACTTCAAATTGGTTGAAAGATTTGTTTACTCTGAACATGTTGAACCCTGAAAAAACAACCTTTTTTTGCAGCTTAGATCAACACAGTGATAATACTGTATACTCTGATAAAAGCTTTAGGAATTAAAGAACATTTGATACCGCAGATACAGCAGAAGTCTACCTGTGATGAATCCCTCCTCAAAGTCTGAAGATAATCCCTGCTGATGCCCGTCTGCCCATCTGTCCTGGAACTCAGTGGTCTGAAGAAGCCTAACAAGGTATGGCGAAAACAATAAATGTGTTGTCAAAAAATAAATTTAAAACTTTATACCAAATTCAAAAGTTCTTAAATTAAAGGCTCATGCACAGAAATATCTTCTTTGACTTGTGATAATTTTTCATGTAATAGTGTTACTAAACTCCACCCCAACAGAAGCTATGTCACTCTGCCCACAGATTCAGACTGTAGTAATAAATAATGACTGGTCTACACAGAAATGACTGAAGAAAACAAAATGTTGTGTAGTGCAAAGTTTTGGAAAAAACGAATTTGCCTTGTATTCTTTTTGATCTCAATGTTAGGAGTCAAACTATATTTATTTTTAATGAAGTTCCAGAGTGTGTCAGCATGATCTTGATACTTTGTTCACTTCCCAGCAAGCACTTTTTTTGTGTGTTTGTAATAGATGTCTAATCTTTTTAGTCTGTTTAGTCATCAAACAGAAATAACAGAATGACTACAATTGTGAAGTTCATCTGATCTGTCTATTTGATGACTAGTCTATTTATTGACTATAATTGGACATCTATAAGATTTCACTGACAGCCCTTGTTTTAACCAAGATGTCCATGTTTAGATGACCAACAAAAAACTGCTTGGTTTTTACAATGGATTTTTATTTTACTTTTTTTTAGAAAGTCACAGCTTAAACATGTTTGACACAGCTTAAAAAAATCCTTGTAAACACAGCAATGATTTACAGAGCAATCAATCTAAACTCAATGTGAAATATGTCTCTTGGAACGAGATTTGTTCAACGGGTTTGGTAAATGTATATCTTAATTACACTTGAGTCACAGTTTATCTCCACTGAATCCCAACAACAACCTCTGTAAAAGAAATTACTTCATCTCCTAACCTGTACAGATTGAGACTGAGCGTGTGGAGGGACATCCAGGACTCTCGGAGACGTTTGAGGTCTTGCAGAATGTGCACTTTGCCTTCTTCCGAGGTTTTGGCCAGCACAGTATGACCCTGAGCCTCTGTCTGATGAAGCTGAAGTTCCTTCTCTGGAAACTCTCCTAGCGCCCTCTAGAGGACAAACACAGTTATATGCAAGGCAGAATCTCAAATAATGCAATGCACAGGCAAGCATTCCTTTGATTATGTGACATGACAAAAAATATGGCATACTTTTTTCTTCTTTTTTTTTTAAAGCCCTCAGTATAAACTTTATTTATCTCTTAATAAAATAGTGAAAAAAAAATTAATAAAATGATTTAGGACAAAAAGTATACATTAACAATTAACATTTATTTTTACTTGTAACAGTAATTAAAAATTTTTAAAAACTTTTTTAGATGATATCTGCTGTTGACACTGTTTAAAATTAATAATTAAATATGTTTGTCAAGTTTTAAAATAAGAGGGAAAGTCAGAATAAAAAACTTAAGTTGCAATTGCAAATAATAAAAAAGAAATAATAGTACTTTATTTATATGAGACGATTTAACAACAGTCATTGACCATTGGGCTGTACACAAATTGTATGAAAATGATCAGATATGATCAAATAAATAAAACAACATATAATGCATGAAACACATAAAAGAAAAAGAGCAAACTCCAATAACTGAGGTATTAAAAGCCTTTTCAAAAAGCTGAAGCTTAAATTTCCCCTCAAACACGGATTCTGTAGACATTTTTCTAATAGAAAGAGGTAGACTAATCCACAATTTGGAGGCCACAATAGCAAAAGCCCGCACTCTCTTTTTCTTTAACTTTGATCTGGGAACTTTTAAAAATTTTTGACTTGATGACCGTAAACATATATACTCACCGTCCACTTTATTAGGTACACATTACTAGTACCAGGTTGGACCCCATTTTTGCCTTTAGAACTGCCTTAATCCTTCGTGGCGCAGATTCAACAAGGTACTGAAAATATTTCTCAGAGATTTTGGTCCATATTGACATGATAGCATCACACAGTTGCTGTAGATTTGTTTGCTGCACATCCCTAATGTGAATCTCCTGTTCCACCACATCCCAAAGGTGCTCTATTGAAATGAGTTCTGGTGACTGTAGAGGCCGGTGAGTACAGAGAACTGATTGTCATGTTCAAGAAACCAGTCTGAGATAATTCACGCTTTATGACATGGTGTGTTATTCTGCTGAAAGTGGCCATCAGAAGATGGCCTAGAATCAGAAAATTGTAGCCTAGGTTTCCTGTTCTTAGCTGACAGGTGTGGCACAAGCCCGGTGTGGTCTTCTGCTGTTGTAGCCCATCCGCCTCAAGGTTTGACGTGTTGTGTGTTCAGAGATGCTCTTCTGCATACCTCCATTGTAACGAGTGGTTATTCGAGTTACTGTTGCCTTTTTGTCAGCTCCAACCACTCTGGCCATTCTCCTCTGACCTCTGGCATCAACAAGGCATTTGTGCCCACAGAACTGTCGTTTACTAGATATTTTCTCTTTTTTGGACCATTCTCTATAAACCCTAGTGATGGTTCTACATGAAAATTCAAGTAGATCAGCAGTTTCTGAAATACTCAGACCAGCACATCTGGCACCAACATCTATGCCATGTTCAAAGTCACTTAAATCACCCTTTTTCCTCATTCTGATGGTCGGTTTCAACTGCAGCAGATTGTCTTGACATTAGCCCCTTTCACACATACAGACCTTTCCGGAAAATTGCCGGCAATTTTCCGGAAAGGTTGTATGTGTGAACAGGTCCTTTTTGAAAATACCGGTAAACTCGTTCTGGCTATTTTCCGGAAAGAGAAGTTGTAACATTACCGGCAATTTGCCGGAATGCTGCGCTGTGTGAATGCAGAAGGAAGATTACCGTAATAAGCGCGTGCACGTCTAGAACGTGCTGACGTGAGACGTCTGCTTTAGTTAATCACAACAGTCAGACGCATTTACGTCCGCGCGGTTTGTGAGGATAAAAGCCTTTGAATATTTTTCCAGACACATTTAGCTGCTAGAAGTTAGTCCGATCACGTTTATATGTTCTTCTTAATGCCAACTGTGTAAATAATCATCGATGAGATGCTTATGATAAGCCGTTGTTTGTTTACCTTCAAGCTTTGCGTGTGCTTGTGAAACAGCCAGTTAGCGCCTGCACACGCACATATTATGAACATCTCGACATGCGAAAGTGATCCTGCGAAAGTTGTTCACAATATTGATCATCCACAGAGTTTTTAATTTAGTCAAATGTTTGCAAACACAAGCGCAGCCGTTTAAAGCTCATTTGTGGTGAATGATGTCAGAATTTACCGGTATTTTGGAATGGATGTGTGAATGCTCTTTTCCGGAAAATTTCTGTAACGTCCTCGCCTGTGTGAACAGCGCTTTTTTCAATATACCGGTAAAGTCTTTCCGGAAATTTTCCAGATATTTACCGGTATCACTGTGTGAAAGGGGCTTATGTCTACTTGCCTAAATGCAGAGTTGCTGCAATGTGATTGGCCATTTTAAAATTTGCGTTAACAAGCAGTTGGAAGGGTGTACCTAATAAAGTGACCAGTTAGTGTTTATAAACTTAATAATGACTTGGTCCTTAAAAAAATGACACAATAGAAACCCAGAAAGATGGAACTCTTTAAATCCTAAATAAATTACATATCTGAAATATTCCTTTGGATATGTTTTACTTGGGTAAAGACGATATAAAATTTGTTTAAGGATTAACTCTTGCCTGTTTAAGGATTAAAGTAGAAATTTAATTAGATCAAATTGAAAAAGGGATTTAAGCTAGAAGGTTTGATCAAGGCGATCATGGTCATTTTTACTTTTAAAGCTTTTTAAAGTGTTGAACTTGATTTGGAATGCTATGCTTTATAACAAAACGCCTTTTCGTACATGTTTAGCTTTATAAATCAATAATAGATCAACATTATTCTATAATTAAGAAACCCATACTATGATACCGCAGTGATCCTTCACAGATTGTATAAAACTTTGAGAAGGTTTTTTAGTTCATGTATTTTATCATTGACATTATATGTTCAGTACCTCAGCCTCATGCTGGCGGTTGTCAATGCTCCATTCTCCCTCTGATCCACGAAACGAATCCAACTTCTGCTTCATGATCATTAACCACTTCTCCATGTTCAGAATGTTTTCATGAAAGCTCTCATGCTCTCCGATGTTCTCCTCGCTTTCGTTCACCTTCATCTGGTAGGAACAAAACCACATGGATCTAAACAAACATGAAGTTTATAACAAGCCTAAAAAACAGCCGTGAGAAGCTGCAATAGTTTTTTTTTGGCATCTCTTTCGAAAAAATTGGGAAAATAATAAAATAAAAATCTTCGGGGCAAAAGTGTGCATTAAAAGTGAAGCGAGGAGGTTTGATCAAGGCCTTCATAGTCATCTTCTTCATCACTATCATGATCCAACACACAGCAGGAGGTATGGAAACCAGGGTGTGATCTCAGCGGTTTCCACAGATCTTCAGGGTTAAATCAGAATCACTTGTGAAGTTAGGCATTTTTGAAGAGGCTAGGCAAAAGATATGCAGCCTCCCCTCATTATTAGGCATTTCACATATCTGTCAATTAGCAATGCAAAAAAGTATTAGAAATATAAAGAATAAGCACAACAAAAAAGAAAATGAATTGGCTTTATAAAAACTTCTTTTTGCAATCGCACTTTTACTTACAGTATGAACACTCCTAACTTACAAGCTGAAGTTGTAGCAATTACTGTAATAAGTCTTTCTCCAGGCTGTGTGTTATTTTTATAGACGTCTCTGAGCTCATGTAATAGTTATCAAAATCACATTCTTACAATTTTCTTTTTCAACTGTAGAGGTGATGAATGAATCCACTGATGACAGATGGATACTATGATAGATTAATATCTGTTATTGGATCGAGTCTGAGAAGAATGATTTGAAATCTAAAACAAGTGCATCTTATTCTCCACTAAAACTATTTTAAAGCACAAATTAAATCAAAGCAGGTGATTTTGTTGTGGTGCACAATTCATCGGTGCGTGTAATTAACAAAAATAAAATAGTTTGCCCTTATAATCTTTAATTGAAATCTGAAAACGAACTTCCTGTTTGTTTTCAGTTAGGTGTCTTGATAATGCTGGAAAAAAACAGCTGTTGACTTCCATAGTGTTTTATGTTCCTAATATGGATGCAAATGGCAGATTTTTTGCTGATTTTTTCAGAATATCTTGTTTTGTGAATAGTTTAGAACCATGTGAATGTGAGCAAGATTATGAGAAATGTTTATTTCCTCATGATCCCCCTCCCTTACATTGGACAATGCTTAAAGGTGGAGTAAGTGATTGTCTTCATTTTGTGTTGTGCTGGTTGAACGTTTCTTCACATTACAATAGTAATGATTAAAGTAAATGACCTAAATCTATTTTTTTTTATTCAGGGTAAGGTATAAAACTAAAAAATGTTCATCCAATTAAATATTGTCGGGCTGATAATTGCCATAATTCTGATAAGTAGCCCAAACTATCTTGCACGCTGGAGGAATGATAACACCATGGCTGAAGTCTTCTTTTAGACAGGTAATGTTCTGTTTTAAAACTCTTTTAGTCATGCAAAGCTGATGTAGATTTTGTTGTGTTATGAATGGGTTATATGCACAGAAGTGTTGTTTAGCCACTGAAATCTTGTGGTGAAAGATCGATTTAATTATTTTCAGGTTCGTAAGGGTCCTTTTACAGCATCGATAATGTAGATTTTTATTTAATTTAACATCAAGAAAAACGCTATTCCGCCTAGCCTGCTTTACTAAGGCAAAGTTGGTTTTAAATTGGTTTATTTTTGAACAATGACAACCTGAATATTCGTTCTGAAATAGCATGTAAGTGTCGCTAAGTAATAAATGTAATTCCTGCTTCCCGCTAGTCAATCACTAAGCATACAGTAGATGCTTTAGGAAAAAGGGTGTGAGAGATTGAAACCAGCAACCAGCGCGATCCTCTGGCGATCCGGGGACTGTACCAAAAAGCTGAGGACTGGGAGTTTTCCAGGAGACAGAACAAAACAAGAGATGGGTGTGAAATACGGGAGACATCTGGGAAGAGTGTTGGCAGGTATGATTCTGACTAAAAACATGCTAAATATAATACAGTTTTTCATTTGATTTGAAGTATTATAAGGTACTATAAAGTTTTCTAACTGGTGAATGAGGGGGGTCGCCTGGGGATCTCCAAAAATCTATTTATTTTTATTAAACCATAAGAATGACCATATTTTATCTATAACCTACTGAAAAGAAAAAAATTGTCGTTATATTTAAGAATTACTACTGTATATAGTTACTATGTTAGATTATAACTACTAGTTGTTTTGGATTGCGATCACTGGGGTAATTGCATTATATTAAAGACACAGTAATAGCATCAGATGCAGCAGATTGATTTTAAAATACCAGATTAAGCTTTCTGGCACATTTACAGCGCTGACATATATTTTAAAAAAATTCTACAAAGAATAGACTTGGGTCTATTGGTGTGTGTGCGCCATTGCATACAAGGTTTCTGTATTTATAACCACTTCAGAAGATATTGAGGGTCGCAAGTCACTGGCATTGTTGTTTTGGGGGTCGCGGGCTGAAAAGTTTGGGAACCCCTGATCTAGTGGGTCTATGTCATCTTTAATGTGTGCGTTGGTGATTTCAGAAGGCATGGCTTTGGATGTTAGGGGAGGGATTGTGTTTTCAAAGCTGTTATGCTAACGGATAGAACTTTGGCAGATCACCTACTGCACCTTTAACTGCACCTTAATTGCACATTTCAGTCAGTTGACATGGTCTTGTTGGTTTTTTAATAGTAAGATAAATATCCTGATATGGAAAGTTTTATGGTGTTTACTTAAAAGCAAAAAATCCCACAATTTACATATAGTCGCAAAGTGGATATTACAGGACATGTGAGTGTGTTGAATGCAAAAGGTATAAAAATGTGTGACATTATTCTTTTATGCAAATGGGATGATTGGGGTTAAATAATCCATCACACTTAGGAGTTAAAGTAATACGTTTCATCTGAGAACAGCGCAAATAGTGCGGTGAAAATCGTTTTTTGAAAGAGAAATAAACTTCAAGTTTAGCTGATTTCCCCTTGTCGAAGGGGTACAGAGCAGTGAACACTATGTAGGAAGTATGTCGATCTGAACCCAAATCCTTCTTGGAGCACTCTTCCAATGTGCTGGTTATCTAAATCAGGACATGTTAAAACAGCACAGACCTGCAAAATATGCAGATGGGTGGTATGACAGGACCAGGTATCCGCCGAGGTGGTTATAAATATACAAACACAAAACAGCGCACAAACAGCAATAGGCCTAAGTCTAACCTTTGTTTAATTTTGGAGAAGACCACTTGCTGATCATCCGCCATGTTCATTCGTGGCCTGTTTTCAATTTTATTGGATGCGAGTGTCGTAAAGGTGTCAGAAAGATCTATGAAATCAATCTGCTGCATCTCACTATTGCAGTGTCTTTAATCTAATGTAATAAGACCCCAGGGGTTGCAATCCAATGGGAATAAAATGTGTTGTTTTATAACTATTAAATACTATATTTATCTTCTGTAGCATAATGACAAAATACGCTCATACTAGTAGTTTCATAAAATTAATTTGATTTTTGGGCAACACAGTGGCGCAGTAGGTAGTGCTGTCACCTCACAGCAAGAAGGTCGCTGGTTCGAGCTTTGGCTGGGTCAACTGGCGTTTCTGTGTGGAGTTTGCATGTCCTCCCAGCTTATAAATCTGGAGGGCTAATAACTTCAACTTTCACTTGCATTGAAAACTAGCAAATGACTTCTTAAAAAGTAGATGACAGAAAACAAAACTACTTTATTGCAGTCTGCTACCAATGTACAGAAATGTACAGCACAAACACACTTCAAATGATCTCCAGACATTAAAAAAGTACATTAGAGTTACTAATCAATGCCTTTTTCCAGGGGGGTGAAAACGTACAACCACAGCTGAGAAACTTAAACAACCTCAAGCGGAACCAATCTTACCCGAAGCGCCTTATAAAGCAGTCTCCAGTCAGCATACAGACGCTCAAACTTGGTCCTGTTTGTAGGGTTGGATGACACCAGCGTCTCCAGAGCTATGATATGGGCTTCGCACTCCTCCAAGTCCTTTCTAATGACCTGCAGAGAGATGCAAACTCATTTTACATGCAGACAGCCACCAGCGAGTCCCACCTGGACAAGCCCCTCTGATCAACCAGCGCAAACACATTGAGCTCAGCGTGACTTAACTCCTAGCTGCTTAAATTATTCACATGACTCTTTTTAGTGTGTGCCGAAAAGACGATCTAATCAAAAGTCACTGTATGTCTATAGCGTACCACATGCCGAGATTAAAACCAAAACAGCTGTTTAAAAAGAAATTCAAAAAGCTGTGTGCAAAAGCTTGAGGTTTTTGAAGTGAGAAACAGCTACGCGCCTCTGTTTTCTCTGATTTCTTACCCGAAGCTGGTCGGCCTGGCTCTTCTTGGCTAGAATGTCTGGTTGGAGTCCATCTGTGGAGACGAACTGGTCTTTTATGGAGGATAGTTTTGTGTGTATGGAGTCGTAAGCGTTGGAAAAGTCCTTTGTTTTAGATATTAAACCCTAAGGGAAAAATATGAGCACATGGTTTGAAGACAGCATTTAGACTTGAAGTCAGAATTATTTGCCCTGCTGATTTATTAGTCCCCCTCTATATTTTTTTTTGCCCCAATTTCTGTTTAACGAAAAGAAGATTTTTTCAAAACATTTCTAAACATAATAGTTTTAATAACTCATTTTTAATAACTGATTTCTTTTTTTCTTTGCCATGATGACAGTACATAATATTTTACTAGAGACTTTGCAAGACGCTAGTATTCAAATAGCATTAAAATACAATTTAAAGGCTTATTTAGGTTAATTAGGCTGGGTTATTAGGCAAGTTATTGTATAACAGTAGTTTGTTCTGCAGGCAGTCGAAAAAATATAGCTTAAGTAGGCTAATAATATTGACCTTAAAATAGTTTTTAAAAAATCTAAATCTGCCTTAATTCTTGCCGAAATAAAGCAAATAAGACTTTATCCAGAAAAATATCAAAGAAAATACTATGAAAAATTACTTGCTCTGTTAAACATGATTTGGTAAACATTTGCAAAAGAAAATAAATAAATAAATAAAATAAAATAAATAAAAAAAATCACAGGAGGGCATATAATTTTGACTTCAACTGTATAAGCTTTTAACATGATCATTCACAGATTCAGATCAGTGGGCATAAAAGAATTAATTTATAAAATAAGAAATACAATAAAATTAAAATTTTGGTTAAGAAAGTATCGAAAAATCATTAAACACAATATTCAAAGTGATGGTAGTTTAGGAGAGGCAGGGATATCAACAATTATGAACAGACTGCATTTTAAAAAGTAGAAAAACAACAAAACTATTTTATCTTCGTTTTTGCAGACATTTATGCAAACAAACCGGGATTCTCTTTTTTAACCAATGTGATAAGAATGGACTTGGAAAATATTCTGTTGTGTAAAATAAAAATAAAATAAAAGCTTTTTTTGTTTTGTTTTTTAAAAAACGTGATAAACACTGGCAAGTAAATCACTTGCAATGATACATTTAATGATACATTAATAATTAAGTGGTTAAAATACTAAAAAGGTAGGTAAATTAGGTAAAAAAAAAGATATTTATCACAAAATAAATAAAATTAAAATACAGTTTTTACAAATTGAGCACTTTTTAAAGCTAATTTAAGGTTTTTGATAGTTTTACAATGATATAATAATATAAATGAAAAATAAAATAAAAATAAAACAGAATAAAATAAAACAAAACAAAAATAAAATAAAACTAAATAAAGTAAAACTAAAAAATAAAACCAATAGGATAAAATAAAGTAAAATGAAACAAAAAAACAAAAAAAAACAAAAATAAAATAAAAATAAAATAAAACAAAATAGAATAGAATAAAATAAAACTAAAAATAAAACGAAATAGAATAAAATAAAATAACAATTGTTCTTATAAAAATAAAACAAAACAGAATAAAAGAAAACAAAATAAAATAAACAAAACAAAATAAAACTAAATAGAACAAAATAAAACAAAACAAAATAAATTTAAATAGAATAAAACAAAATAACACAAAATAACAACAAAAAAAAAAAAAAAAAAAAGGGCTATCAATTACAGACTATGTTGATTTTATTAGCCACACATCTTAACCATCTCCACACTTCTCTTTTTTTCCAGCTGGACAAGACAAGCTCTGATCAAAATGATAATTTTTTTTTTGTTATGCACGACTATGCAAGACTCTACATGCTGCATGTCTAACAGCAGGTGTAAAGTCTGTTACTGTATCGCAGGCATTTACGGTCAGATTGCGAGCGGAGGCTGTTGGTGTACCTGCAGGCGGTTCTTGCGCTGCTGGAGCTGGCTGTGGAGTAACTCTCTCTTCCTCATATCCCCGCTGAGCTCCCCCAACAGATCTTCAGCTTTCTCCTGGCCAAAAACTGCGCTGAGCAGATCACTCTTCACCTGGAGCAAACTCAAGCGCTCCTGGAGCTGCACGCTGTTTTTAAGCAACTTCTACAAAAGAACAAAAACAAAACAGAAGAAGGAGCACACACGATCACTTCAAAGCCAACAAAGCACTAACACAGAATTAAACCGTCGAGATGAAGCGCTACAAATGCTTAAAACACAATATAATCACATCCACAAAATAAACAGGATCCGTAACCTTTATTTTCTAAGAAACAAAGTGGAAATCAAATGTCAAAAATACAGAATGTTAGAACATCAAACAACAGTCAAGAGTTAAAAAGCTGATCTTTAGTACAGTTCAGATCTCTGCATGACGGCGCAACAAAAGCCTGATATAAGAGCGATTCACTGGAAGCCAGAAATATTGAACAAAAACTCAGAAAGCCTCAATAAAATGGGCTGAAAACGATAAATAAGTTCTACGTTGTTTTGCACCATAAGCTATCATTTTTCAGCAGAATTGTTTATGAATAAAGAGTTACATCGAGTTACATAACTATAGAGTTTAGGGCTGTTGTTGCAAAAAACTTAATAAATTTGTTGTTAAATATTTATATTTAATGAATTATTTAATGCATTTCACAGGTTTTGGCAAAGGCCAGACAGAAAAAACAGTCCTGGGTTAGTAAAATTCGCTCTGAATAATTTAATTCACATCCAAGTCTTTAATTAATGATGCAACCTGAAAGTCTGGTCACTAATTATTTTGGTACATTAAAATTTTTTTATTATTAGGGATGCTCCGATCTAATTTTTTTTGCAGTCTATCCTGAGTACCAACTCCTTTTCATGGTGATCAGCCGATACCAAGTACAAATTTTAATTCTTTAAGCTTAATGCATAAAGCACATTTTCACTCTAAGTATGAACCCTAAGCTGAGATCCTCCTTTACCTCAACGAGTATAAATGAAAGATGTTGCATATAATTCCTTAAACATGTCTTATATAACCATTTAGTGCGGAAATGTGATGAGCAGAAGCAGCTTATAGAAAATAATAGATAAAATTTGGTAAAAATTGGTAAGAAAAATCACTAACAAAGCAATTTGGAAATGTCTTAAGTCTCATTGAAGTTTGGAGCGCATATTTGATGCATAAGAAGTTAAAATGCACACCTTTAAATCCATTACTTCTTTCATAAAAGGAAATAGGCCTATAAACTGCTTTTATTTTAACGTTTATAATAAAAGTGTATGATTATAAGTTATATTATTAAATATTAAAATAAAAATGTATATTTGTTATTTCCCTAATTCTTCCAGACAGGTTTTAATGAACCTGGAATATTGGTAAAACAAAGAAATTTCAGTTCTTATATGTAAAATGATTTTAGTTGTTATATATCCTCTGCTTGTAAAAGTAAACAAACACTTGCGAAAGGTTAAAGAGATCGGCCAGATTAGCGAATACCGATCGAGTCATAAAATGTGAATATGGGTTGATACCGATCCCTGGCTGATCGATCGGAACATACCCAATTATTATTACTTTTAAACTGATTAATTTACAACAGGGGTCTCAAACTCGCGGCCCGCGGGCCATTTGCGGCCCTCAGTGCAATATTTTGTGGCCCGCGCCGACCGCTGATTCTAGATCCGTACACAGCGGTCACTGGCCTTTGTTTACACGGTGGGCAGGGATGCCGGTGACGTCACCACGCACCCCGCCCCTTTGTTAGACGCTGTGACGGGCAGGAAGTGTTAGGAGGGAACTCGCGCCGGCCAGAACCAAGGTAAGCTGTTCCCGCCCCTGCCTGCCACTTAGCTACCTATCTGCAGCCTGCCACCTACCTAGCTACAGCCTGCATCTTATATATATTATAGGTAGATACAGACTGGTACAGACTGATGTGACTGGAGTGGGGTTCAAGCGGACCATGTGCCTTTTTGGGAGCACATATTTGTGTGAGAAGTTATTCTCCACCTTGAACTTCAGTAAGTCAAAGTACAGGTCTAGACTTAATAATGATCATCTTCAAGCCAGACTGAGGGTCTCAACTGCTTCCGCTCTAAAGCCAGATGTGGTTCAGATTTGTGAGAAGAAGCGCTGTCAAGTCTCTGGCAGCAAGAAGTAGGCAAAAGATGCCATGTTCAGAAGAACTGTTCATAATCTTCACTCAATGTTCTATTAATGTTCAGGAAACTTCATGTTCAGAAGAAATAATTAAAACTGTTAATAATGACATTTGAGGACTTTTTTTTGTGTGAAATCCCTTATGAAATCCCTTGTGAAATCCCTTGTGAAATCCCAGCCTCACCCAGACTTTGCCTCCTGCGGCCCCCAGGTAAATTGAGTTTGAGACCCCTGATTTACAACATACACCAACATTCAACAGTTTGAGGTCAGTAAAATTTGTCAACCCTTTGTAAAAACCTCCATTTTCCTGTTATTTCATCATAAATACATGTAGTGAATAAACTACATTTTGTGAAATATTACAAGTTTAAAAAAAAAAAAAAAGAGCTGTTTTTTTTTATTTCCTTGATGGCGAAGCTGAATTCTAACCAGCCTTCAGTTCCACAATTACTTTAATATTTTGACCTGATGCTCAAAAAAGTTAAGTGACTGTTTATTTATTAAATTAATGCACATTTGCTGATTAAGTATTTATTAATTAAGAAAAAAAAACACAGAAATGTCGAACTGTTCAAAAAAAAAAAAAAAAAAAAAAAGATTTGTTCCAAAACGACTAATTTCTGATTAGACTTTCAGGATGTTTAACACATTGAATTGCTTTGAACGTAAAATTTGAGAATTATCTGGAGCCAGTGCTATTTTTTTCCTTTCTAGTCAATTCGCTGTTAAATATGTACACATAATATTATTAATTAAAAAGATCAAGGTGTTCAAGGGCTGCACAAAAACCTGATATGAAAACGATTTAAATAAGAGTATCACTCAAATTTGTGAATTCACTAAATAACAGACATGGTTTGGTCTAAATTATAGCTATCATTTTTTCAGCAGGTTTGTTTATGATTAAATAGAGTTACTTCCAGTTGCATAGAGTTTAGAGCAGATATTAGTGCAAAATAATGAATCTGTTGTTAAATATGTATTCATATTCATATAATTCACAATTTAATGTATTTTACATGTTTTGTAAAAGCCCAGACTAAAAGAAAAAAAAAAGTAAAAAACTTGTTGAGTCCTGGGGTTAATATTTGCACTGAATTATTTAATTTACATCCAAATCTTTAAGTTATGGTGCAACCTGAAAGTCTGGTCACTAATTATTTTGGTACATTACCATTTTATTATTATTATGAAAATTTTAAAAATACACCAACATTCAACAGATTGAGGTCAGTAAGATATGTCAACCCTTTGTAAAAGCCTCCATTTTCCTCTTATTTCATTATAAATACAGTTAAGAAACTACATTTTGAGAAACATTATTAGACATTTTAAAAACAGCTCTATATATATATATATATATATATATATATATATATATATATATATATAATAAACTTTAATTGATCTCCGTGATGGCAAAGCTGAATTCTCACCAGGCTTGTCTTGCACAACATTGTGATTTCATTGGATAACAGACATGGTTTAGTCTAAATTTGAAGAATGACTAACAAAAACTCTGAAATCCTTAATAAAATGGGCTGAAAAGGATAAATAAGTTCTACATTGTTTTGCACTGTTAGCTATCATTTTTTCAGCAGGTTTGATTATGATTAAATCGAGTTACAATGAGTTGCATAACTATACAGTTTAGAGCTGTTATTGCAAAATAATGAATTTGTGGTTAAAAATTTATTTATTTTGGAAGAGGCCAGACTAGCAGAAAAAAACAACTTGTTGAGTCCTGGGGTTAATATTCACTCTGAATTATTTAATTATGAATTATTTTACATCCAAATCTTTAGGTAATGATGCAACCTGAAGGTCTGGTCACAAATTATTTTGGTACATTATATTTTTTTAATTATTATTATGAAAATTATAACACACACCAACATTCAACAGATTGAGGTCAGTAAGAATTGTTAACCCTTTGTAAAAGCCTCCATTTTCATCATAAACACAGTAAAAAAAAAACTATATTTTGTGAAATAATATTAGGAATTTTAAAAACAGCTACTTATAGCTCCTATATTTTAAACTTTAATTGATCTCTGTGAAGGCAAAGCTGAATTCTCACCAGGTGCCACAATTACTTTAATATTTTGATCTGATGCTCAAGAAAGTGACTGTTTTCTTATTAAACCAATGCTCACTTGCTGATAAGAACTATTAATTTATTAGAAAACAAAAAACACTAAAATGTAGAACTGTGAGGAAAAAAATATTGACTTGTACCAAAATAATTTCTGATTAGACTTTCAGGATGTTTCACGCATTCAATTGCTTTGAATATAAACCTTGATAATTATTTGGAGCGAGTGCTATTTTTTCCTTGCTAGACAATTCCCTTTTAATATGCAAAACACAAAAAATATTAATAATAATTAAAAAGATTCCAGGGTGAAAGAAGCAATTTAAACAAGAGTATCACACAACATTGTAAATTTACTGGATAACAGAAATGGTTTGGTCAAAATTGCAAGAACATCAAACAAAAACTTTGAAAGCCTCAATAAAATTGGCTGAAAAGGATAGTTATGCACTGTTTTGCACTGAAAGCTATGATTAATCAGCCAGTTTGTTTATGAATAAATTAGTGCTGGGTAAATCCAAAACACTAGTTTGCTTTGACATAATATAAGTGTGCGTACTGTGTATATTTATTGTGCATAAATAAATACACACATGCATGCATATATTTGAGAAAACCTTTATTTATATTTAGATATAAAATATATACATATTCATTATACTAATTATAAATACATTTAAATATCTATTAAACAAAATTGTTTTGTATAGTTTTGTTTCTATGAATGTGTGTGAATCACATGTACGAAATACATTGTGTCATTATTATGTCAAAACAAACTTTTATATTGCATGTGATTAAGCTTTGCCCAGCACTAGAATAAATACAATACATTCCAAATCTGCAAAATAAAAACAATAATGGAAAAAGATAAGATTTTTCGACTTTGAATGCATCCTTGCTAAATAAAAGTATTAATTTCTTAAGAAAAACATCTTACCGATTCCAAACTTTTAAATGTTGGAGTATCTGGAAGAACAAATTCTTCCACCATCACCATGCAAAAAAAACAAAACCTCTTCATTGTAAATCATTTACCTCTATATTCTGAACGAGCAGGGCGATATGGGAGAATTCAGTGACGTCGGAGGAGGCCTCGAGCACCTGAGAGACCAACTGACTCCACTGGCTGAAGCCATGCAGTGGATCCTGCAGTATCTGCCGGAGCGCCGTCTCGCTCTCAGAGGACAGCCGGAAGGATCTGCCTTTCACACTGCCACAGGAAAACACAAAACAAGTCTACAGTAGCAGCTCACAGCGCTTCAACAGATGGCTGCCAGACAACAAATGAATAAATAAATGCGCTAAACCCTGTGTGTAATGCACTAATTGTTTGAAGTGCTTACATTAGCACTCTTTGAGGGCTGGATACACATTGTTTACGGCTGACTAGACTGGCATGAGTGACATCACGCTGACAGAAACACAATGAAGATGGAAAGCAGAGTGTTGTTGTTATTATTAGTGTTTACAAGAAATACTGGAATTTGTATATTTGATATGATAACAAAAACATATTGATTCGCCATACCATTTTTAAAACCATTAGGAAATATTGACAAAGCATTAAAGAGCTAGTTGACCCAAAACTGAAAATTAGGTCATCATACCCTCACGCTTCTTGTCACAAAACTGTTTAAGTTTCTTTCTTCTGTTGAACACAAAATAAGTTATTTTGAAATATTTTTGGAAACAATGGGTACAGGTTTCCAACATTCTCGAAAGTATCTTCTTTTGGGCTCACACTTGAGAGGGTGAGTAAATAGTGAGAAATTTTCATTTTGGGTGAACTAGGCCTTTAATTTAAGTTACTCCAATTACATGGAAAAGTTACACTAATTAATCCTCCCAGACGAGTGGCAAGCAGAGGACTACATTTTGACAAATATTGCAGCTTTTGGACAACATAATGTACTTTTGAGGCTTTTTAAGATGAGAATGTAGTTGTTTTGTAGCACAGCAAAGATGGTTGACGTTGTCTATTCACAAGATGGCGACAGAGACCGCATAATAAGCCCTTAGCGAAAGAAAAATTCAGCGTAAATATACAAACTACAGCTGATTAAATCATTATAAATCTGGTCAGTGGCGGATTTAGGCATGGGCAATATGGGTGATCGTCCAGGTCTTGCAGGGGGCGGCACAGGGAGACGGTGGAAAAAAAAACATGCCGAAGTAAAAATCAACATTGCCCCAGTAAAACTTTAAGATATGATTTAGTTCATGAAGTGTATTAATTTTGTGTGGCAATCCCAGAATAAAGATGTTAGGGACCATTCACATTTGGCGTCTTTTATATGCGGAAGTTTGTTACTCCGAAACCACACTGATGAAAGCAAACTGATGCACGCATGCAAAAAACATTCCAGCGCACCTCACAACACACTGCTCCTACTCCCGGTTTTTGCGTGCACGCCCATTAAATAGGTGCCGCTCATGCGTTATGAAACCGGAGTAACAGCCTTTTAAGCAGAGGTGTGCAAGTCAACAAAACTTATGCAAGTCGACAAAACTAAAGTTTGTATAATATGATGATAATCTTATCTTGACTAAGCATGGCTATCAAGCAGAAAGGAGGTATAAAGAATCAGGGGGGAATAATTAATAACAAAAATTCTCTGCCTTGAGTCGAGTCAAAGATATCAGATTCTATAAAACTTTTTTTCTGTATTCTATCGAATTATCATAGCCTAATTAATATTCATGCAAAAGACTTCTTAGGTGATCTTAGCATATCACTCCAGTTATGTCTTTACATTGTTTTCCAGGTAGATTTAAGACTAATTTTGGTTATTTGTATAGAATAATAATTGTATAATATTAATATTAATAACAATAATCATTTTATTTATTTATAATAAATATGAATAAATGTGTGTGTGTATATATATATATATATATATATATATATATATATATATATATATATATATATATTTTTTTTTTTTTAAATACATATATGTATTTTTATATTTATAATAAATATTTCAAATAAATTCACAACACACAACAGTTTCTTAATAAACAAGCACTATACAAAACAACATACAAATAACAACAATACAGATAAAAGATCAAACAAAGAGTGTTCAATTTTGTCAAATGACAAATATTCTACAGTTCTTCCAGGAGCAACATTTTTTAACATTTCTCTTGAGAATATTTTTCTGAATAAATGTTTAAAATGTTTTATAGTCAGATTTGTCTGCATAATTTTAAGGCTACTAACCTAACATATATAATGTTAAGAAATTATAGAAGAAAAGTAAATGTTCAGTAATAAAAAATACAACCAATATTTGTTTGTTTTTTTATTTAAGTAAGAGTTCATCCAAACATAAAAACATCCTCCTCATTTGCTCACAATCAAGTGGTTCTAAACATTTCTGAATATCTTTCTTCTCAAAACAATATATTTTTAAAAATACTGGAACAAAAACAACAATTGTCTTTTGTCAGAAGCAACAAAAAAAATCAATGGCTGTTTTTTCCCAACATTCTTCAGTATATCTTGGGTGAATAAATGATGCCAGAAGTTTTGGGTGAACCATACTTTAATGTTAATTACAGCTATTACTTTAGGAATTTTCATCTTCAGCTGTTTGCTTTCACTTTAGGAATTGTCCTTGTTTTAAAGACTGGGATTTTAATTTGTTATCATTTGACGTACTGTATATTTATGCAGTAAATCACAAAAACATGCAAAAGAAAACTCAGCATTTGTGCACTGAGAGAAAAGGACACACAAACAGCTCAATATTGCATAATTTCAAAATATTTAAGTGTCAATACTTATTGCACATTGCTACTTTAGACAACTCTGTAGTCTGCATGATGGAATGTTTGCTAACGACAATATCAATAGCTAATGATTAATAAAATATCCATCAAAGTATTTCTCCTGGCCTCATTCCTCATTAGCCTCGGGCCAGTGTGTGTGCGGTTGTGTTTGCCGCTCACCTCTGGTACTCCTTCACCACTGCCAGCACCTCATCAGAAAGACTTTTGGAGTCTTGTGGGAATCGGAAAAGCTCTTTCAACCGGGATTTCAGCTCTTCCACACTGGGCTCCTGCGCGATGAGCTTGTTGCGCACACCCTGGAATGTAGATGTTGAGATATAATCAATGAAATTAGTACATGCACACATAGCGTGAGCTCGAGGGGAGCTCATTCAAGCCGGGTTTTAATGCTGAACTTCACTGCATGGGGTCCAGACAGCTCTGACTGATCTGAAACAGGTTTTCATCCTTATTGGTTTTCCTCCCCCCCACTGCTAACAGCAAACTTGGTCCAATTAGTTACTCCTGGTGGACTGACGTGAAAACATAGGGTTTCGAATGGCATCTAAAATAGATAGGGTGTTTTTCAAGAAATGTTTAATTGCGAAGGAGGTGGCATATGGGTAGCTATAGACAGTGGAAAGCAAAGTTAGGGAACAACCTGCAGTTTCCTCAGTTTCGAAGGCCACTGCTTAGTCCTTGTTTATGTTAACTTTAACATTTAAGATACTATTTTTCATAAGTTACATAAATTCTGAAGATTAGCATAAACTTAAATGAAATATTTGAAAGAATTACATTTATAAAAATGAAAGATCACTTTTAAATACATTACAGTTATTGGTATAATTTGACACAAGGTGATTTCATTCATTCTGAATACAAATTAAGTGTTTTTAAATTGTTCTCCAATTTTAAATGCCATTACATATGCTATATTAATTACACTGCTCTCAGGAATGCTTGATTCTGATTGGCCAGTCAGGACATTCCCAGTTGTTCAACATAATAACAATTGCTAAAACTAATAACAAAGGTTCATATGGGTTCTTTAAATTTGACGTCGGCCGTGTGACCCTACCAGATTTCTTGCCGCACGGGAATAAATTTCCAAAAAAAAAACCCAGCTAGTGGTCGGTAACTGTGTGATGTGTAATTTTAATGGGATAGGGGGGTTTTAATCATGTAACATTGCTAACCCCGACAATGTTTCAGAATAGCATATCTGTGATTTCCTTATTCTTACTTAGGACCGGTACAGCCAATTCTCACGACTGTTACTCATGCTGAACGCAGTGACTAGTGCTTTCTGCACATGCTTTTTTCACATAGTCTGTGCCCGCATCTTCTGCATAACATCTGCATAATGGGTAGAAAATGATTCTAAGCAGGCAGAGGGTCAACAAAGACTGAATACTTTGTGAGTATTCGTGTATTAAGCAGGATAAAGTACATACAGATGATTGCTATCGGACAACAAAATCCTTCAGTCTTCAGTCCAACAGCCCTCCAATTGACCGATAAACCTGCCAGACTTTATTCTGCGATAACAACTGCCTAGATGTACTTCATCCCTTACATGGCCACCATAAAGTGAACATAGCTGAATGATAACTCCAAGCTCTGATTAAAAAAAATTTAATGTAAATCCATCAGTTTAAACATACATTGTAAAAAATGCTGGATTACGAAATAATTCCTTCATGGTAAACTTAAGTTGATTTGTTTGTTTTTACAAATTTAGGTGGAATGAACATAAAACAATTAAGTTGTTCCCTCAAAAAACTCTTTTAAATAACTAGTTTAAACTGGCAACAAAATATTTTTGAGTGTATATATTAGGGACACCACGGTTCTCAATATAATATTGAACCGTTCGGTACGACCTCCACGGTTCAATACGCGCTTGTGAATTGTGGTTTTCTCGGTTTTGTGTTTAAATAATTTATGTGCGCTTTACATCTCCCTGAATTGACTGTGTGTGCCTCTAAATCCATGAGCTGAGACGAGAAAACTCCTCCCCACGAGTAAATATCCAATCACTATGCTCTAAAGTTAGAGGGCGCTTGACCATCATTCCACACTTTAACATTGCGAGCGGCGGTGAAGTGAGGCAACAGTACAAAGAAGCGCCGGTGAAGTGAGGCAACAGTACGAGAAAGCGCTGGCGTCTTTTAAATCTACGGTGTGAGGACATTTCGGTTTTGATGGTAAGTATAATGCCAATAAAAGAAAAAACGGTGAACAAAAAATAACTGTGTGCAAGCATTGGTTTACACGTATAACCATGACTGCACATCTGCAGCGCCATCACCCAGCATTATCACTGTCTGAAGACAGAATAGCAGAGAAGGTAATAAAGTCCTCCAAATAGCAACAATCCCTCACTGTATCTACCCAACTGGTTACGAGACACATAAAAATAACAAAGGCAGTTGTTTATTGCTAAAGATTTGCAGCTGTTTTCGGTGATTAGAGATGTGGGCTTTTGTCATCTTATAGAAGCACTCAATCCGCGTAACAGACTACAGTCTCGCATTTTTTCAGCACTGACATAATTAAGATAGTTTATTTATGTTTACTTAATTACAAATATGTTTATTTGAAATGGCCAATTTATCTTTATTAGCTTCACATGTATGTTTATTTTCAAAGTGTAGGATTTTCTGTGTTCCCCAGTTTGTACATGGGCTACCAGCATCTGTGAGATTTCAGTGTCCATTTTTTTAAATACAAATACACTAGGAACTAATGTACTTTTCTTGGCTTTTAATTAAAACAAAATGAGTATTGCAATAAATCATTTTTATGTTTTTTCTTCTTAACCTCTTACTATTCCTATTGCCTATAAAAAAAAAAAACATGTGTCAAGTCATGAGAACCGAACCGAAAACCGTGTTAAAAAAAACGAGGTATGTATTAAACCGTTGGGGTAACTGTATTGTTGCATCCCTCGTATATATTATTTAATTAATTGAACATACAACTTCTGCTGGGGTCCAAATGCCACTTAAAAGTGTAAATCAGAATCATTAAATCATCGAAAATCTTATAAGTTGAATTTAAATAAAAACAAGGAGCCTGCACACAGTAAAAGCCTATTTAAGCACTTTGTAAATAAAGCACGTATTTTTTTTTTTGTACAAAATTATATACAAATGGACTGCATAGTGAATCTGCCCATGTATGTTCATGATTTTGGAGGTATTTCAGAGCACAGAACTCTTTTAAAACACAACGTTTCAAATAACTGTCTCTCCCCACACAGGAATTTACCTAAGGCACTGCCTAAATCATCACAGTCATCATACGCTGTCACAAAACTATGTCGAGACTCCAACTATGTGTCCTACAATCAGACAGTAGAAGTACTTGGGAGTGGTGAAAGAGAGAGTAGTTATTTGTTTGTTTGTGTTTGCCGCCATGCTTCAATTGTCATTTTTAAGCTGGAAAAAATAGTTATATAAATAATTTGATATTAATTATCTTTTTTGCTTAAGACTCTAAAGCTGCATCTGAAATTGCATATTGGTCCAACCTATGAATTTCAATGTACTTTGCAACCTTTTAAATAGTATGTCCTAAATAGTATGAATGTGAGTAGTATGAATGGAATTCGAAGGCACATCCGCCAGGTTGTCATTAACACATGACCTACTCATGTCAGTTTAGTCACTTCACTACTACTCATAACTTATCACGGTGAGAAAATTGGATGCAGTTGTTGCATTGGTTACTTCAGTAAACAAAGCAGCATGATCTAGCAAGATTTAATCGATTTTATAAACTACAAAGCATCCCAATATTCACGAATTAAATGGGGTTTATGCCGAGCTAGTGTGTTTCCCATACTGATAAACTTCCGGTGACCTGTTATTGTGATTTTTTTCCATTTTATACGATTCCTTTTACAGCATCAATGCTGTAATGTCATTAAAAACATTCAGTTAAATAAACTTTGGCATTAATTTAGTTGCTCAAGCGTAAAACGAGACAAAAAGTCGTTTACTCGCACGTGCCCGTCAGAATCAGCAGGCTAAAGCAGAAGCTCCATTAAATATAATAGGGAAAAATAAATGCTCATATTACAAAGACATGGCGGTGGAAATGTAATTTAATGTAGTGCTTCTAGTACAATCTGAGACCCACTTTATATCGGATATCACTTAGCTAATGGAAATCGCTGATTTTGAAAGTAAACAGACCTTAAACGCGCCGGTTTTTCCATTGCATACAGTTCGCCGGAAGCGCTTAACCCAGGTTACTGGCAAATTAAAAGTCCCATTAGCATGCTTCGGCATATACCCTATTCAGGCAAACTTTAGAATAAGTTTGTATGCTTTTAAGTTAGCATACATTGTATAATTAATAATGATACAAAATTGAATCATGTGTAATGTAGCATTTAAGAATTGTTTTTTATATTTCTCAAAAAATTAAATATTAACTTTTAATACTTTTTAAGACCCTGTGGACTCCCTGCATATGGAAGAGAAGATTTTGGATGCACCACATAACTGTACACTGGGTCAACCCTGTTAGAATCTACTCAAAAGAGTTAACTGAACTTAAAAAAGCTTTCTCTAGAATTGAAACCGACACAACCGAATAAAACAAGACTCATGGATAAAAGGTTTCAGCATTAGAAAAGCGTGAAGGATCTTCTAGTATTAATAAAAAGCTCAAGAAAGAGTGCTAACCGTATGCATCTTCCATTGAGCAACCATGTGTTCCTCCGTGCGTTCTCCATCTCTGCTCTCCAGATCACCGCTGAGCTTCTGGACTAGGGTTCGAAGCTTCGCCAGATCTGCCCACAGCTCTTTACAGCGTTCTGAATACTCATTCTCAGAGTCCAGCGAGATCTGGAGCTCCTCTTTAAGCTCCAGCAGTGTCTGTCGGAGCCTCTGCCAGGCCAGTCTCAACTCTTCTATCTCCTGTGTGATCTTCTCCGCTCCTGCTGGAGACGTGTTGGCCTTCACCGCCTCCGACAGCTTTTCAATGTGCTGGAGAGTCAGCTCTTCTTTGGCTATACTAGCACCCAGATCCTGAAGGGGAGAAAAGTCATTATTTAGGACTGATTTCTCACTTGTTCTTCATAATGTGTTTGTAAATAGTGGAAGTGGAATGTGAGGCAGTGGTCATAAACATGGATGCTTACACAGAGTAGAAAAAAAAGAATAGTAATATAAAACAATATATCTATAAAAAATAAAATATTAATAAAAATATAATAAAATTCAGTAAAATAAATCAAAATTAAATGAAATTACATGAAAATTATATATATAGAATTATATATATAGAATATATATATATATATATATATATATATATATATATATATATATATATATATATATATATATATATATATATAATTGCATTGCAAAATTAAATATAAAATAAAAACCTAAAATAAGACATAAAATAAAATTTAAGTAACATTAAATTGAAATAAAACATATATAAAAATAAAATATAAAATAAAAAAATTTATTACATTTAATTAAATAAACTTAATATATATAGAAACAAACATAAAAGAAAATAAAAAGTAAAATTAAATTAAATCAAATTAATTTATATAAAAATATATACAATAAAATATAAATTAAACAAAATTTAAATATATATAAAAATAAAATATAAAATAAGATATAAAATAAAATAAAAATAAGTAAAATTTAATTTAATTAAAATATATATAAAAAACAAAATATTAAATGAAATTAAAATATATATAAAAAAATAAAATATAAAATAAAATATTATTTAAAATAAAAAATAAAAAAACAACAACAACAGTGAACAACTTGAAATGAAAAATGTTAGTTTGGAAAATAACACAACTCTAAACTTACTCAAACTAATCCTGAAATAAAATATACATAAAATATTTGGGAATATCTAAAAAAAATTATAATAAAATTGTGTAACAAAAATGCTATAAAACTATACTAAATAAAAAGTGAAAATATAAAAATCAAAGCTAATTTAAAATAGAAATAAACTATAATATTATATAAATAATATATAATATTGCTGTATATAATACATAAATATATGTTTCTCAAAAGGTTAATATTTATAGTTAAATTATAAAATGACAAAAGCACATAAAATTACTTGAAACATATCTAAATGAAAATTGAATATTAAAAAAATAAAAGTCTATATTATATTAACAATACTAAAATAGAACATTCAACTCATTTATTCGAATAATTAATCATTTAGAAAAGAAATCTAAATAACATCTTAATTTTAAGTGACCATGTATAAAATTAACATTACGGTTTCCATTTGATTCAACATACATAAAATAGCCAATGGCTAGGGCCAGACAATCTGTGGATTTTTTTGCAATTTCTGTAGGGAATTTTGTAAAAAATCTGCAGACTTATGCAAAATTGTTTTGGGAGTATCGTAACTAAAACCTAATATATTAAATAAAGCATAATAGCTTTTTAACTTTTATTTAAGGTTTACAATGCAAATCCATCTAGATCCACTTATTTGGAAAACAAAGCAAGTTTATATATGAACTAATATGAATCAATATATGAACTAAAAGACAGAAAATATTACTTTACAAACTGTAATGTAAATAAAACACATTCCTATTAGTCAATAATATTACTGAAATTAATTTAAAAACTGAATAAATATAAATTTACACACATTTACACAAGTAAATACATAGACTCAATGATGTGCTAAAATTCTGTGGAAGTCTGCGGATTTCTGCACATGCAGATTCCATGTGGGCCTAGTAATGGCTAATTTTTTTTCATCTGCAGTGCCATTCATTAATTTAAGGGTATTACAATTATCACATAAAAATCATTTTACATTTCTGTCCTACATTTTACACTATTATTAATCATCATTATCAAAGTCCTGTCATGTTTTTCATAGTGTGTTTGTAAAAAGGGTTTCTAAATGTGGCAAGATAAGTGGAATGAGATGCAGTGATCAAAACAAACGTTTACACAAAGGAGTAATAAAATAAAATAGATAAAATATAAAAATTTAAGCTAATTTAAAATAGAAATAACCTCTATAATATATTAACAATACTATACTATAGTGCTGTACATAATATGATTATATGTTTCTCAAAAAGTTAATATTAATTCAAATATAAAATGAAAAAAGCACATAAAACATCTAAATGAAAACTGAAAATATATTAAAAAAATAAGTTAATATTCTATTAACATTACCTAAATAGAACATTTAATCATATTCAATTATTAAAAACATTAATTTTAATAATTAATAATTTAGAAAGAATTTTAAATAACATTTTTATTTTTAAGTGACTTTGTAAAATATTAACATTATCCTTTCCATTTGATTCTACATACAAAAATAGCCAACAGCTAATTTTCATTTGCAGTGCCATTAATTAAAGGATTATACAATAATAATATATAATTTTCTTCCCATTCCTGTCCCACATTTTACATTATTAATCATCAATTACTGTATCTTAGTCAAACTCTAATCTACATCATTAAAAAATGCACAATATCAGCACCATCAAGAGTAAAAGTCAGGTCAAGTTTATTTGCAAAGCAATTTTCAAAATGCATATAGTTTTAAAGCAGCTTAACAGAAAGTCACTGCTTACTCCCCAAACTAGTGAGCCAAAGATGACTGCGACGAGGGGAGAAACTGCACAGGATAGAAACAGTCAAAATATAGTTTTTCAATATTTTACAAGATGAATAAATGCAACGAAGAAGTATCTTCCTGTCAACAACAATAAAGCTATTGATCCATTTTTGCACGTTAAGGGTTGCCATGGATACAAAGAATAAGTCCAAGGATGTGAACTGCTCTAAAAAGACTAAGTTGTCAGCTCATTAAATCTGATCAAGAGACCATTAAATAGAAACTGGAGAATATTATAGTGGAATTTAATATGAACATATTCTTCAGGTGTTTAGAAATAATGGTGTTTTATTTGTTTATCTGTACTCCTTGCTAGACCTTGATTCAAGTTTAAAGAAAGTTCACCATAATAAATGTTTATTCACCCTCATTAGATTACTATCCAACAAATGCATTATTTAGGGCAAGAAGCTGCAGGCAAAAACACTGTTTCTCATGCACGTGACAGTTTTGAGATTTGGGGTTTTGGGCTTTTCATGAATGATTTTTTTTTTTCACTTTAATGAAAACAAAATATCCCACATGTTTTGTATCAGTCTGTTTTGTAGGTTTTAATTACATTCATGCTTACTTTAACCAAATTCCAAAAATCTTTGTCCTTATTTATTTTTTGGTTGGTATACATGTTTGGTGTTGATTGCAACTTATTTCTATTTAATTGACAATAAAAACATGTATGATGTCTCTATTCATTAACAGTCAATTATATTGTGTTGAGAAATCTAGTCATAAGAAAAAAAAATCAGGAAATACAGGCAGAAGTCCAGTGCACCACATGTGGTAAATTTCCAACATAACTTTAACTGAATTTAAAAAATTTTTGGCCCTAATTTTATGGTTGATATACATTTTCTTGGGGTTGATTGATGGAAACTTGTTTGTATTTAATTGAAAATAAAAACGTTTATTGACTCTCTTTCTTATCAATCAATTATATCATGTTGAGAAATCTAAAAGTCATTAAAAAAATCTGGAAAAAGTGCCAGAAGTCAGTGCACCACATGTGGTAAATTTCCAACATGACTCTAACTGAATTGGAAAAATCTTTGGCCCTAATTTGATGGTTAATATACATTTTCTTGGGGTTGATTGCATTTTATTTGTATTTAATTGAAATATAAAAAAAATGAAACATGTTTAATGACTCTATTCATTAACAGTCAATTATACAGTATCGTGTTGAGAAATCTAGTCATAAGAAAAAAAAATCAGGAAATACAGCCAGAAGTCCAGTGCACCACATGTGGTAAATTTCTAACATGACTTTTACTAAATTTAAAAAATCATTGGCCTTCTTTTTATGGTTGGTATACATTTTCTTGGGGTTGATGGCAACTTGTTTGTATTTAATTGAAAATAGAAACAAGTTTATTGACTCTCTTTCTTATCAATCAATTATATCAGTGGTCCCCAACCTTTTTATCACTGCGTACCGGTCCGCGGCTCGATGGTTGGGGACCACTGAATTATATCATGTTGAGAAATCTAAAATTGGGGGGGGTTGGTGGTTCATGGCCCTTTAAAAGCAGAATTCAACAATACGGATGGTCCAATGACCTGGGGCCAGCAGGAGAGATGACAATAAAATAAAATAACCGTTCGCATGAGCAAAAGAAACCGGTGAATACCAAATAACAGGTGATCATGCGCGGGGTGAGACACATGAAATTAATTCTCCATTTGTGTATAGTTAACTGAAATTTAGCCTGGACAGACTACTGTACATAATTCTTTTTTAAATGTCACTTTTTTTTTTAAGAAAAGTTTGTTTGAATAAAAAGTATATGTATAGGCCATTTTGAGAGATGTAAACAAAAAAGAATCCCAATATATATCCTGTTTTAGATTTTTAATTACTATAGCTTCCGAGAATCCAAAAAGAGCCACATATTAATAAATGATGTTATGATACCTGTTTTAACATTAAGTTATGATTGAGTTGTCTCTTGTTACGGTAATATATGAAATAGCTTGATGACAAGCAGGAAATATTCATGGACCAATAACATCACCACATTAAAATGGTCTAAACAGCTATATTTAGCTTGTTTTGACACATGATTTACAATTTTGGGCTAAGGGTTTATTTATTTTTGGTGTGGATAGAGGAAGATTTGGTAAAAACTTAGTGTTGAGCCCTGAAAAGTCATGTAAAATAATTACTAATTGCAATGCGAGACTATGAAACCACAACCCATTTGCTCATCATGCTCATTGAGCAAGCTCATACACAACACACAAAAAGTGAAATAAACAAAGAGGCATGTGGACATAACACAAAATCTAACCAAGTAATTTTAGCATGCCAAAGTCAAATTTTATGCATATAAAATATATTTACTCAACACAAAATTGTGGCTAGTAATGTTGGAAAGCTACTAGCCACAGTGGCTGGTAATCAAATGTTAATGTAAAACCCTATTACTGATTTTTTTGCCTATTCACCAATGCCTTAATCTGCAGGTTACATTTTTGTTTACATAGTAGTAGATTTTCCAAAATACCAGACTTAGTGAGCTTGTTACCATGACCCCGTTTATCCAGTAGCCTGAAGTAAAAATGAGAACTCAAATGAGCTAGAAGTCTGCTAAACTGGAATGACTTTTCCACAGTTTGACTTCCAAAGCAGGAATGATTTTTTTTCCCCTAGTTGACCAGTCTGACCTCCCCTCCCCCCAAAATAAGTAGGTCAGTACCTGCAGCGCTTTCAGCCTGTTCTGTGTCGAATCATCCACATCACTGAAACGACTCACTTCTTCTGTTTTAGACACCAGCCAGCTCTGGAATTTATGAACGCAGCTTTGGTACTGCTGGTGCTCCTCTGCTATTTTCTGCGCCAATGTCAACCTCTCCTGCAAATGAGAAACGCACTCCGATTAAAGAACAAAAAGTTTCGATTTTTGGAAACTAAAGCAACAGACCCAACAGCACTAATTACAATTAGTACTTTCTAAGGTAACACTTTACAATAAGGTTGTATTAGTTCATGTTAGATAATGCATTTACAAACATGAATAAACAATAAATAAAACTTAATTACAGTATTGGTATTCTTTTTAATTAACATTTGTTAATGAAAATACAGTTGTTCATTGTCAGTTCATGTTATGTTCACGGTGCATTAACTAAGGTTAACAGGCAGGAATTTTGATCTTAATAATGCATTAGTAAATGTTGAACTATGATTATTAAATGCTGTAGAAGTATTGTTCAGGGCAGCATGGTGGCTCACTGGTTAGCACCGTTGCCTCACAGCAAGAAGACCACTGGTACAAGTCCTGACAGGGTCAGTTCGCATTTCTGTGTGGAGTTTGCATGTTCTCCCCGTGTTGGCATGGGTTTCCTCTAGGTGCTCCGGTTTCCCCCACAGTCCAAACACATGCGCTATACAGTAGGTGAATTGGGTAAACAAAATTGGCCATAGTGTATGAGTGTATAGTGTGTGTAAATGCGAGAGTGTATGAGTGTTTCCCAGTACTAGGTTGTGGCTGGAAGGGAACCACGAGGCGACGTTCATTCACTGAAAGCAAGTTTCTGGAGGGCACATAAATCTGCAGAAGTGAGAGCAAGTAAAAAAGGAGCAAAGGTAGAGGTTGCTTTGTAAGCAAACATCAAATCTTTGAATTTGATGCGAGCAGCAACTGGCAGCCAGTGCAAACGGGTGAGTAGCAAAGTGACATGTGCTCTTTTAGGTTCATTAAAGACCACTCGTGCTGCTGCATTCTGAAGCAGCTGAAGAGGTTTGATAGAGTTAGCTGGAAGCCCGGCTAGTATAATATAGATGAAATTATGAATTATTTCTTTTACAAGTTGTACATTATTTAAAAGTAATACTGCTATTCAACTAAAATTTCCAAATTATGGTTTAAAAAGCTATTTTTCTGACCAAAGTTGAATTTGGCTTTGTGCAAATTTGGCATGTTGCATAAAACATTAGTGAATAAAGCATTGTTGCATTCAATGAGTTGAGGATAACAAAATATTAGTGTTCTGATACAGTTCTGCCAAATATCCAAATGAAAAATGAAAACTGCTGCAATAGAGAAGATACTTTTATTAGCTCAATGCAGACCTTGTAGTTACCTTATATACTGTAACCTAATACTTGCTTAGGTAAATACACTGGAAGAACACATAAAGCACTCATACTGTAAAATAACATGCAACCAAATGAAGTTCCACCGTAAAATCTTTGACTTTAGTTGGTTTAAAGAGAGGCAGGTTTACCTGTGCTCGGTCTCGAATGTGGTTGTAGGCCTCTTGAAGACCCTGCTGAGTCTGCTCATCCACACTTGGGTCTCCTGTACGGTTGAACAGAGCTGCGGCCTCATCCAGGAGCCTCTCCAGAAACTGGGCCTGGCCCTGGATGTCGCTGTGGAGAACCCGCAGATGATCCACCTGCCACAGCTTCTCTTGCAGACCCAGCTGCATCTCCAGCAAAGGCTCCAGAGAGCGGTGCATCTTCTCCAGCCACAGGCCAAACTCCTCATGAGCCTTTAAGTACTCACTCCAGTGCAGCCAAACCCACTCGATACGACTGTCAGAGAGCATGAAAGAGATCACACTAATAAACTGAGAAAATAAAACAATGGTTTCCCTTAGACATTACGTTGACGATAAATATCTTTGTGTCATTATCCTCACTATCCTCAGTCTGTACCTGTGACAGTGAATGATGTAAGTTAACGTGTCATCATAAAAAGCCTTCAAATCTTTGAGTTTGCAATGAGTCTGATTCTTTAATTCTTCATCTCCATTCCGAAGAAGTGCTTCAGAAGCAACAAGCACTCGGTCCATCTTCACTTGGCCGTCAGGCTCCAAGCTGTGGATTTTCTAAAAGGCAGACATATGTCGATATTCAATAATTCAATATATAAGAAAGTATGTAAAAATATTGATATTGTTGTATTGGCAGTGGTTGTTCATCAAAGCAACAGATGCTTAGAAAAGCGTTTTAAACCTTTAAAAAGTCTAATTTATTTTTAACCTGACCATTTTGAACATTTAATCTAGCCTTCCATATTAAAGATTCTGTGACTATTTACAGGCCTTTTGAGTAACTCTTTACAGTAAAGCTTTACTAACAGCAGGGTTGTTAAAAGTATTGAGTTCAGTACCAATCACTAATGAAATTTTAAAAACTTCTGTTTCCCGCTAACATTTGCTTTACTTTACTTTCTCTATTAGCCACAAGTGGAAATTTATCTTATTTGAGTGTGGTTGAGTGCTTAATTAAACCCTGCTGATTGGCCATTAGCTCATAGACATATCAGCAGCTGTGAAACACTCCAGTGTCAGAGTTTGCATTCGGTGAACAGCGGTGAATAACGGTGAACTGATGACCATCATAGCCAATCAAAGCTCTCAGATGTTTGAGCAGAGATGCCCAAAGTAGGGCCCACAGGCCAAAGTTGGCCCATTGTAACCTTTGATTTGGCCCACCATCCCATCTGAGAGAGAATGATGGATAGTGTTGGGACGAAAGCTTTTAACACAGAGATCGTCACTCCTAATTTGACGTAACCTTTTTTGTTAGTTATATTGTTGAGCTAAAAAAAGGCAAACTGAAATTAAATGTTTCAATTAAATGCAGCAAATGAATAGCTTTTCAAATACGGATTTGACAGATAGAGGACTATGCAGAAGACAACGGTGAGCAAATCAAGGCAAAAACTAAATGAGATTGTTTTTGTTTTTACTGTAATAAGTTCATTATAAAATGTAAACAATACTGTATTAGATAATATAAAGCAATGTTTTCTAGTTATTTTTAAATATTATTAAATTAAAAAAAATATTAAGGGAAATTACCCATGGCAACTATATTTAGCTTTAGCCCAACCTCAATCAAGTTTAATTTTTGGCCCGTCAAAAGCAAAGGTAGAACACCCCGGTGTTAGAAGGAAATGGAGCTTTTTCAAGCTTTAGTACCCAATGCTACCAAACTTGATACTTTGGACAACCCTAGTTAACAGTAAAGTAAGTAAAGTAAATGTAATGAAAACTGTAAACAACTTAAGTATTTAACAGTCTTAAGTGGTGTTAATTTCTTAGCTATTGCCTAATATTGCATTAAGAAAGTAATAATTGTTCTATTAATAATAATTGCTCTAAGATAGGGCATCAAGGTGGCGCAGTGGGTAGCAAGAAGGTCACTAGTTCGAGCCTCGGCTGAGTCAATTGGCATTTCGGAGAGGAGTTTGCATGTTCACCCCATGTTCGTGTGGGTTTCCTCCGGGTGCTCCGGATTCCCCCACAATCCAAAAACATACAGTATGTGACTTGAATAAGCTAAATTAGCCTTAGTGTATTAGTGTGAAAGAGTGGGTATGGGTGTTTCCCAGTGTTGGGTCGTGGCTGGAAGGGTATGCGCTGCGTAAAACATATGCTGGATAAGTTGGCGGTTCATTGCGCTGTGGCGACCCCAGGGACTAAAGAGGCCGAAAAGAAAATGAAAAAATGAACAAATGTTCTAAGATGATAACAAAAAATGTAGTTGTTTTTTACTTTGATTTTAATCCATTAACTAACGTTTGCTGATGAGACCTTATTTTAAAGTGCTACCTATTTTACTCGATCAGCTTTTTTGCTATTTAATTTGATTAAAACTTTTATTTACTCTGAGAATGTATACACAATAACGCAATACAGTAAGTTTTTTATTACACCTGTTAAAGTAACCTTTTGTGCAGCTTAGGTCAATACTGTCATAATGTCGTACATAGTGATGAAAGCTTCAGCAATTAATCGCAACAAAAAAAATTGATAGAAGTCTAGTCATGATCAATGGAACATCTAAACTGATGAGATTATATAGGATTAACCTCAGTGAGATGATCACAGGAGCTTCTTTAGCAAACACTAGAGACATCTGAGAAACGGAGATGGTTCTATTTCAGTTCTACCAAAGGTCAAAGGTCAAGAAAGTCCTCACCTCTGTCTCTCGGAGCCTGACCTCCAGTGCTGATCTGGGCCCTTTGGTGTCATCGTTTTGTTTGAGCCTCTCCTGGATGGCCTGCATCCAGGATCGGGCTTCCTCCAGACTTTCCCTGAACTCATGCTGCTCCTGCTGGGTCATTAGGTTAAGGCTGACCTGATGCAAAAACAAGGGAAACACATTTTCATTTCACATTTCAATTTAGTAAAAACAACCGATAGCGCATGCTGATTTTAATCACTTTAAGCACATGCGTTTATCCTGAGTGTGCCCGTAGCTCAACTGGCAAAGCCAAAGCACCTTTAAGGCAAGTCTGTTCATTCAGTAACCATATTGGAAATCCTCCCTCAGGAGGCAATCTTTTAATCGAGCAAACACAGCTCTACCTAAATGAACGGAGAAAGATTGAAACCTTGATAAGAGTTGGTTAATCCAATAATCCAGAATATACATTCTAAACAATAAAAAAGCTTGTTTTACAGATGAACCAAAATATTGTATTTTAATTTAATATATATTTAAATAAATTTGTTTTGAAAGAAACTATTTGGTTTAATGTTTATATTTCTGCAGTAGAACAGAATATGTTTTTACAATTTATAAATGAAATGAAATGAAAATTGGTAATTATATATATTTTATATCTTTAGTGAAATCTGAAAACCCCTTTAAAGTTGTCCATATTCATTTCTTATAAATGCATATTATAAAAAATGCATTATTATATAATACTTACATTAGAAAATGCAAAAAATAAATTCAAGGAACATGATCTTTACTCACTTTTCCAAGAATTTTTGGCATAGAAAAAATAAATAAATAAACGCTAATTTTGACCCGTTCAGTGTATTGTCAGCTATTCCCACACTCAAAAAATATTTCTGCAGCTTGATCAAATAACTAATTTAAAATTAGCTGAATTAAGACCATTCTAAATGTTTTTTTTTTTTTTAAAGAAAACATAATTGTTTCATGTTCAATCCACTTACATTTGTAAAAACAATATGTTTCCTTTTTTACAGTGTGCAAATGTAGCTGTGCATATTGGAAATCCTCCCCCAGGAAACAATTTTAATCAAGCAAACACAGCTTGATCTAAATGAATAGGGAAAGATTGAAACCTCAAAAAGTGTTGGTTACAATGATAATAACAACAATCCAGAATATACAGTTGAAGTCAGAATTATTAGCCCAATAGCCCCCCTGAATTATTAGCCCCCGTTTATCTTTTTCCTCAATTTCTGTTTAACGAAGAGATTTTCTCAACACATTTATAAACATAATAGTTTTAATAACTCATTTCTAATAACTGATTTATTTTATCTTTGCCATGATGACTGTAATTAATATTTGACTAGATATTTTTCAAGACACTTCCTTTCAGTGAAGTTCAAAGTGACATTTAAAGGCTTAACTAGGTTAAATAGGTGAACTAGACAGGTTAGGGTAATTAGGCAAATTATTGTATAACTATGGTTTGTTCTGTAGTCTACTGGAAAAATATATAGCTTAAAGGGGCTAATAATTTTGACCTTAAAATGGTTCTTAAAAAAATAAAAAACTACTTTTATTCTAGCCAAAATAAAGCAAATAAGATGCTAAAAATTAAAATGGGGGCTAATAATTCTGACTTCAACTAATGAACTGACTTCATAAATAAGGCTTGTTTTACAGATGAACCAAAATTTTGTATTTTAATTTAATATACAGTTAAATAAAACTGTTTTGACAGAAATTATTTGTTTAAATGTTTATATTTCTGCAAAAAAGTGGAACAAAATTCTTTTAAATATTAAAATGGATATATGGATAAATAAAGTTCCACAAAACTGCAATCAACATGGATGATGAAAGGTTACAAATAGTGATGAATATTGACAAATATATATATATATATATATATATATATATATATATATATATATATATATATATATATATATATATATATATATATATATATTAAGGAAAAATCCCTTTTAAAGATGTCCAAATTTCTTATAAATGATGCATGATATTAAACTTACAGTAGGAAATAAATAAATTGATTCATGAAACATGATCTAACATAATTTTCTAATCATTTTTGGCAAAAAAAATAATAATAATCTTGACCCATTTAGTGTATTGCTGGCTATTCCTACAAATGTGTCTGTGCAACTTTTTTGGTCCAAGGTCACATCTTTTAAAATATATTAAAATAGTAAGCAGTTATTCTAAATTGTACAAAATGATTCACAATATTACTGTTTTTTTTTTTTTTTTATTTTTCAAGTTAAAAAGTTAAAAGCAGTCAGTATGAGCATAGAAGACTTCTATCAATATGCTTGAAAAATTTGACCGACCTTAAACATTTTAATGTAAATATCTTGGCTTTGATTCCCAGGAAATGTCTCTTACAACCTTGACTCAAAAAAAGAAATGAATAAATCATCAGTCACTTACTTTGGATAGAAGGGCCGGTCAAACAAATAAATGTAAAACACTAGTTCAAATCAGCGAGGATAATAAACAGTATAATGATTTTTTTAAAGGAGAAGTTCAAGCATTTGCTGGCTTCATGATTATCTGATATTTCGAGAAAAGTATAAACGGAGGTTGGAGCCAGCTCCAAATGGTATTGTCATCTCCAAATGGGTGGGACTTGAGCTCCAAATGTGCTGTACACACCTCCTTAAGTACACCTCCTCCTCTTGTACATGAGTCCAACCTTTTGTGTTTTATGAATGTCTACACCTACCCCAACCCTAAACCCAACCTCACAGTAACCTATTGTGTTTTATTAATGTCTACTACACCTAGACCAACCCTAAACCCAACCTCACAGTAACCCGTTGCGTTTTATTTGAGTCTACTACACCTAGACCAACTCTAAACCCAACCTACTTGCAGCGTAGGTCACTCCCACTTGGAGGTCACCCAGCCTACTTGCGGTGTAATTCCTCCCACTTTAGATGTCTCCAAACAGCAGTTGGAGTCAGCTTCTTTTGGGGATCTTTTCCATTTAAATAACATTACAATATAAAGCACATCATCAAGCTGGTATTTTTCTCATTCTTCCATTTATTCAAATCTACTGTATAGCTCAGTGGTTTTCAAACTGTGGGTCGCGACCCACTAGTGGGTCGCAAAGTGAACAAAGGTGGGTCACGCAACGTCACATAGCAGCAGCTATATTTACATTGCGATGAATCAAAACCAGTACGATTGACGGCAATAACTCAAAAACCTCACCCTAAAAATATCTAAAGTGTGTTTCCTACAAAAAGACAAAGATGGTTATGTTTCACAGCTGTCTTTTTCTTTTCGCTCGACATTACGAGCACTGCTCCGTTTGAGCCCTCGCAATCTGTGTTTAGCCGGGAGAGCTCGCACAGAGTGGAGCTCTCAGTAAGGGACCGTCGGAAAAGTGTTTTTTTTTCTTTTCTTTTTTTTTTGCTCCGTCCTGCGTGTTTTATTTTAAACACTACAAATTTTCTCTTAAATGAGCACAAACAGTTACTAAAGTAGTCGAATGCTTTATTATAGATCTGTGCATTCTTACATTAACAACTCTGTTATCAAACAAAACACAATTAGAGATTCATTTGCTACTCTTCACTAAATAACTATAGTAACTTTAATCAATATGCAAATACAATTAAAAGTGAAATAGATTTTATAGCTTTATTTAATTTCTGGATAGGCCATTGATTTTAATAGGCTAAACCTTTTATTTTATTGTCAATATTTTCTAAATGTTTGCTATGTATTCTATCATTTGAAGCTATTTGTTGTCCAATATTTTTTACATCCCAACGTTGACAGATTGCTAATCAATAAATAGCTGTTAGTTAGTTAATAAATCTGTTAGTTTTAACGTCACCTAATGTTATGGAAGGGCATAGATGTTATGGAAAATAGTAATGTAAGTACCCCTATCATTCCTTCCTCAAGCAAATGAGTAAATATTAGATCTATTCAGCTATAACGTTAATTGCGTTAGCATATTTATCTGACCTTTTCCCAGCTTGTAGAAGTCGATCAAAAAGCGATTTAGTTTCTTATGACTAAACACTAGCAGTGGAATTTACTGCGATGTGATGGGGCTTGATCATAATCAAGGGGCTTGATCAAATGTTGATCATATTCACTTATGAAAAAAAGAAGAGTATCTTTTTCAACAAAAAAACAAAAAAAGATCACAGTTACAGTCAGCATTCCACAAAAAGCACTTTGAGCCTCATTTTGTGCATATCAAATCGCGAAATCCAAAAAGCCACACACCATATATTTCTGACTGCTTTGAATGGATACATTTCTTTACCCATTTTTCCATATTAAAATGTTATGGTGGGTCTTAAGAATGAATTACTTGCCGAGGTGTGTCCCGGAATAAAAAAAGTTTGGGAATCCCTGGTATAGCTCATTCTCATTGGTATTATACTGAGTAAAATAATAAGTTATGTATGCTATTTGTTTTGTTCGTGCCAGTGTCATTTTTGAAAGAGGTTTCACACATCAGGAAATCCCGTTAAGCAATAGACTGCTTGAATTTATCCAGTGTTTTCCACATTTAAAAAAATATATTTTCATTATATATTTTCCCAACATTCTGCATTTTTAGTTTTCTGAAGTTTTATATTATTTAGTAACTCTGAACCAAACAAGTTATTTCAAATAAAAGTTTCAATTGACTCATATTATTTCTGTCATGAAAGGGATAGTTCACTCAAAAATGAAAACAGTCTACTATTTACGAGTTCTTTGTGTTAAATAGACACATTAGTATTTTTTTTCTAGAATGGAAGTCAATGGCTACAGCTTTTCAGCTTTCTTTAAAATAATTTAAATTTTAAATGTAAATAATATGTATACTTTTTTTGTTTGTTTGTTTTACTAAAAATGTTTAATACTGTAGTTTTTTAACAATTTAAATGCTAAACAGTTTAAAAGTCACCTAAATAATGTTTAATATGTTTAGAATTGTACCGCTATGTTGGGACAGATCCACACCGCCGCTAGATGGCACCACTAACTCGGTTAGTTCTCTCGAGTCCAAAGAATATAATGTTCTCTGTAATTTACTGAATCTTTGTTCCACTCAAATAAAACACTAGTCATTCAACAGTTTGAACTGTAAAAATATTAAGTCCAGTTTAATTGAGCAGCCTAACATGTTTTAACATTCCACCCTGAAGAAGAAATAGAGACACCCCCAAAGAGCATAGAGAATCACTAAGAGGCGACACTCTAGTGCGATTTGGGAAACAGCCACTAGATGCCGCTTGTGTCATGCGGCGGCCATTTTGGAATAAAAAATTCCAATAGAACAACAGCATATTAAAAGTCTGTAAAATAAACTATTAAAAGTGCTGATGATTGTCATAGTAAGTGCTGTTTTGTCGTCTTTCAGGTTGTATCTTAGCTTTATTGTGCTTTTTAAATAAATAAATAAAAAACAAAGCAGCTGCTTGTCATCACAACAGCAATGAGATCCAATGGACAGCCGATCACTTTCACTCCAGAATGGCGGAACGCATGGCTGTTGCTGGGCGCTGCTGTTGCAATGGAACGGAATGTGGTCATAGACTGATAAACTGGTAAAACTCCATTCAGAGAAAGTAAATTAGGTCATTAAAAAATGTACATCACTAAGAAAACAGTCAAAAAGGTCTGTTTATTATATTGTAACAATTGTATATTGTATTATATTGTTTTGATTCTAGTTCAAAGACTACGGTTTTAGTTTAGATCGAACTTATTTTTTATGATTAAGCCAACGTTAACAAATTGTTGGAATAATTATCCAAACTATCTGAAGCTATCAGATGATGCAGTCACAAGAAAACTCTGAGTTAGAGAAGTCTGACATTTTTTATATTGTAGCAAACTGTAGTAATTATTGGGTTTGGCGGGTTTGTTCACAAATTGTGACATGAATCACTCCTCTGGTAGCTGGTATGAACCAAACACCTTCTGGTTGCAAGCCATTATTTGTAACCACTAAACCACTCCACCCTACAGCGCAATAGTTCCCCAAAACGCCTGTACATTGTCAATACTCCTAAACTTTTCTTAGGAGGCACTAAACACTATTCCTTAAGTGGCAAGAAACAAAACAAGAGACTCAATGAAAGGCAGAGCAAAATAAGCCCTTTTTTCATCTGTACAGAAGCGCCTTACAACGGATTTTACAAGGCATTTTCCTGCGTGACTCATATCTCCCACAGCATTCCCATAACCCTTTTCATATGAAAATACTCAAACAATAGATCTGTAAACCCTTAGTGCCACAGTTTCCCTCTGAGGGTCTTAAAGGTTATTCAGTGGGGATGTGAACAAAACATGCTAGTATGAAAATCTATATAAATATAATTTTTATTTTGTGTTTCTCTGGATTTATGATTTATTGGTGTGTTCCCACATGAAATAAAATACACTACAGTGCTTTTGAAATATACCATGTTAAGGTGAATTATGCTGTATATATCTACTTTCTATATTTATATTATTATAATAATGTTAAATTATTTAAAACTCTTTGTTATTGAATGCTACAGTGTGCTGTAGTACTAACTATAGAATACAAATGTAGTATGTTTCAGTTTTTACTACAGTAAACTGGGATGTATTGTAGTTTAATTTAATAGTTGTAGAAAATCTACAATAATGGGTGATTTGTTAGTTATTAGTATAGTGGATGTGTTATCAAAGCAACTATTGAAATACTCCAATAGATTTTTATTCCAGTACTTTACTACAATGCGATTTCAAAAACACCATAGTATTTACTATAGATTACTACTATAGTGTTTAAATGTGGGTTTGAGTAAAATATTTTTCTACTGAACTACTGAAACTACTGAAGATATTTCAGTCAAATTAAAAATTGTTAAAAATGTTTTCAAACATGTTTATTTTCACATTTAGACAACACAATACCATTGTTTTAATTTACATGCTATGAAAGCAATTGTGGGGTAAAAAGTGATTTTAAATTTTGACTTTCTCCTTAATAATATCATATCAGAAAAATATTCTTTGTAATAATAATAATAATAATAATAATAATAATAATAATCATATTTCCTTATATTTATATAATGCATTTCTGGACACCCAAATCACTACATTTTTGTGGGAATCTCTTCATCAGATGCCGGGGTTAACCCCCTCTTCTTTTTCGATGGGCACCCTGGGTATTTTAATGACCACAGAGGATTTAACGTCTCATTTGAAAGATGCCACTCACATAGCAGTATAGGGTCTCCATCAATATACTGGGGTATTAGGACCCAAAGAAACCGCAGGTTGAGCACCCCCGGCTAGCATCACTAACACCACTTCTGGCAACAACATAGCTTTCCCATGTGGTCTCCCATCCATGTACTGACAGGGTGGCGGGCGCAGCCCTGCTTATCTTTCAGTGGGCGATTATGTGAGAGTTGCAGAGAGCTAGCTGCCGGCTGAAATCATATTAGCAGCCAATGACTATCAAAGCACAACATTTTTCACTGTCAATTAAATAGTGCTAATGTTGTTTTGAAGTCAAATTTACTGTATATTTGATTTCAAACTGAATATTGAAAGTAGTGTGGTAAACAAAATAAATGGACTGAGTCAAAACAAAGTCTCTTTAAGGCAAGTCATTTCACTCGGCGGCCTTTTGGGCAGTATGCTTGTGCATTCTGTCTGAATAAGGGAAACATCAAATTTTCCAAAACTGCTTGCCAGACTTTTGATTGAATTCCATATTATGAATCACCAATAATTTAAACAACAACCGTGCATTTAGTTTCATTTATAAATGTACAAATCACACAAAATCTGCAGAAACACAGGTCTGGTCCAAGACCCTCCCCCGAAGTATTGTCAGTCTATATAGATCGATGATTGGCTCTTGTACTAGAAGGTGAGGCTTTATTAACCATATTGACAGTTAAACTTTTCACCATTTAAAAAGATGCCAGTGACATGTCTTGTGCATTTTGGTCACAAGTTGTCACTGTTCAAAACTAAACAAATGTGCAAAATAAATCCAAATTCACCTCTATAGAATAACTAGGGCTGGGTGGACAAACAGTTTAATATTGAATCATAAAAAAATGTATATCAATAACAATGATAAGCTCTGAACTTTTTTTTTACAGTATATTAATCTATGAGCCAATCACACAGCAGAAAAATGCAACAATGGGAATCTAGGATAGGCATGCGACGATAATCGTTTTCAAGGTATACCGTGGTTTGGAAAAGTCAAGGTTTTGAAACCGCCAACATTTTCTGATATACCGTTCCTAAGGTATGTGTAAGATTTTTTTTTACTCTTTTAGGACAACAGTATTTCCAGCGGGAAAAAAAAATGGCATTTTAAATTGTAAAGAAATCTGTGTTTTTGAAACTAATAAAAAGAGCAGACATGAATAATTCATTTTAATTATTTAGTCTGACATGTTTACTTTTCCAAAATGTTGAAATGTTTCTAAAATAAAATATATTGTGTTCAAAGGGAAAAACACATTTTAGTTTTTTTATCCAGGCAATTAAAACGAATACACAGTATTTTCAGTGATCACAATACAGTGAAACTGTGATATATTTACCCAAGGTTATTATACCGTCAGAATCATACACCGGCCCAAGCCTACTCTAGAAGTGTGTTAATATTAGAGATGTGCCGAATTTTCAGCCACTGAACATTTATCAGCTGAAAATATGTTATGCCATTGCCACTTAATGGACCCTCTATTTTTTGTGGCTTCAGTCATTGTTGGGGTACTCTTAAATCTGGAAGCATTATCAACTTATATGGAAATATATATTGTGTTATAGCTACGTAAAAAAAACATATGCTGTATAAGTTGGCGGTTCATTCCGCTGTGGCGACCCCAGATTAATAAAGAGACTAAGCTGAAAAGAAAATGAATGAATATATTATTATCATTCAATATCAACCAGGCCTGAGAATAACCCTGATTTTCAATCATAACAAATGAAAGCATTTCTTAATCTGACCAACTGCCATTTTCTGAAGGAGAAAATGCTCTAAAGGACAAAATGTTAATTTGAAATTTTATATCACAACTTTATATAATAATACAGCAATATTAACAGTTTACTCTAACATAACTCCTTAATTCAGAGACACAGAGAATTTTAACAGGTGTTTTCCTAGCGGTGTGTTCTGAATGTATGTCTGTTCAGTTTAATAACATACACTGCATACAGCTCACAAGTAACGTCAACTAAATGGAAATACACTAAACTTACAGTCTAATACAAGGCTTAAACATTGTTTTACATTAGACTACAACACGCTAACCCATTTAAAATGACACCATTAGTCCACATTGAACACTGTTATAAACATAAACACCGATAATCGTAGCGACTCCCAACCAAAACAACTCCACGCCCTCTTTTACGATAATACACTGATTTGCATAACATGGAGCAGTTGGTGGAGGTCTGATACAACATAAATGCAACCTTAAAGTCACGTCTAATTCAGTCTGACAACAATTTATAGAGGATTACAGCCTCGACCGAAGCATGCGGACACAGTTAAGTGCATTAAATGGCATCGCGTTGCACTTTATAAGCTGTAAACTTTGTGCTCAGAAAGTACCAGCACAGCAATGCAGCTATTCCGACATGACTGCGTTTACAGGAGCCAAAACAATCGATAAAGTACTCGTACTTACGGATATGTGCGCATCTGATACGAGTATTTAGGATAGGAAACGACCTCAAGTTGCTCTTCGGGCTGTAAAGTTACAGTGATCCGTCAGGAAGTCAATGCAGGCCTGTCAGTTGCTTCTCGGGCTGCTCGAGGAGGAGAGATCGGCCACAGGCAGAAGCAGCTCATCCGCCGAGCAACCGATGAGCAAACGTCACTGAGCGCGCGCGCCAAAACTATTTAAAAATAACGCGGGATTTTTTCAGATTTTATTTTCTTATTTTTGTGGGTTTTAAGTTGTTAATTGAAAAAAACGTGCATTTACAAAAAAACTAAATGTACTCAAGTAAACTTATCTTGTTAGCAAAATTTCAGATGTAGTAATGTGAAAAAGCATCGTTTTTATACACTTTAGGGGAATATCCATGAAGGTTGTTGATGATTGAAATATTTCATACTATACTAATATATAATATTAATATATAATATATCAATATAATATAGCCTAGGGGAGAGCAGGGTAAGTTGGCACACTTTATATACTTTCTAACTTTTACTGAGCATCACAATGTAATAAATGTCATCCCAAATGAAAGAAGGAACTCTTGGGCACATATTTTGCATTTATTACATTTTCATATCTTTTCTCATTACAGAGCTGTAGACTGTTGGGAATGTGCACTTGTGACAATTTGCCCCATCGGCAGGTAAGTTGTTACACAGGTGTGTCCAAACTCTGTCCTGGAGGGCCGGTGTCCTGCAGATTTTAGCTCCATCTTGCCTCAACACACCTGCAAGGATGATTGTAGAAAGCCGTTATAGCTTGATTAGCTAGCCCAGGTGTGTCTGATTGGTGTTGGAGCTAAACTTTGCAGGACTCTGGCCATCCAGGACCGAGTTTGGAAATGCCTGCTAATAACAACAAAACTAATTGTGATCATTGATTTTAATTGTTAAATTCAAAACAAAACTTGAAATATGAACAATCATGCCTAGAGGATTTTGAAAAAAAAAATTGCAATAAATACACATTACATCAGCGACGCAGTGGCACAGTAGTGCTGTCACCTCACGGCAAGCAATTCGCTGTGTTGAGCCTCGGCTGGGTCAGTTGGCATTTCTGTGTGTTCGTGTAGGTTTCCTCCGGATGCTCCGGTTTCCCCCACAGTCCAAAGACGTACGGTTGAATTGGGTAGGCTAAAATTGTCTGTAGTGTATGTGTGTGAATGAGTGTGTATGGATGCTTCCTAGAGATGGGTTGCAGCTAGAAGGGCATCCGCTGCGTAAAACATGTGCTGGATAAGTTGGCGGTTTATTCCGCTGTGGCGACCCCAGATTAATAAAGAAAATGAATGAATGACACATTGAATCAAAACATATTAACTGGCCAGACAACTTTACTTTGAGTTTTAAACTCAACTGTCTGTTTAACCTTTAAACAAATTGGGACCTGGGACCTGGCAGGGCAGAGTTGGTGCTAGGGCCTGGCAGGGCAGGGTTCTTCTAAATAGGGTGATCTGAAACTCGGTTTCCAGAAATAATTTCTGTTGTAAGGTTGAAACCCAGCAACCCTAAAGTCAGCCTGAATGTTCAGGGGGGATTGCGGAGGATGAGCAATTGCCACAATCTCAAATACTTTCCTACTGTAATTTCAGCCTTTCCTTCCTTAAGTCACATGTGACGACTTGCCCCAAAGTCAATGAGACAACTTGCCCAAACTGACATTTGTGCTAATGTTTACTAAATGTCAAGGTTAGCTCAATGTAGCATGTCAGCAAACGTATTAAAATACATGTTACAATACTGTCTCATCTATTTTGTGCAAAGTAATAATTTTTCACATCGATACCTAACAATGTTGTACTGAATAAAAATTATAGTGATTTGTTTTTACTTTTTAGGTAAAAAAAAAATAAGTGTTAACCTAATCTTGAACACATGAGAACACTATGAGAGGAGTCACAAAGTGGTATTTGATTTTTAAGATACTGTAGCACATCTAGTGTTAAAGATATTAACAGTGTGACAACTTAACCGTGTGACAACTTTCCCCTGCTCTCCTCTACTATTCATTTGTTAACATTCTCTACAAAATGTTTGCTTTAAATATGCAAATCAGCCATTATTTAAATATGAATTCATACATTCATGAATATGCACACATTTGTATACAATTCTAGCATAAAAATCTGAACACTGGATGAAGTCAGATTGAATTTTTTTTTACTTTTTTTGACATATCAAAAGATTTATTTATTTATAATTATTATTATTTTTACAACAGGGGATTTTGGAAATCTGTTTTTAACATGTTTTTTTTATTACACAAATTAAGTACGAACGTCTCTGTAAATCCCTTAAAATACAGATATGAACAAAACATATTTAGATTTTTCTTATTTTGAGAAAACAGCCTTTAAATATATGTAACTGAAATCTAGACACAAACTGAAAAAGAAAAACTTAAACAGTGTGTTATGAGCATTTCATATAATGGGCCTCTTGAAAGTGAAGAAAATAATCTATAATATCCAATCAACCATTTTAAAGCCTTGGCCTCCCATCAGGACTTTCCACAGAGTTATTCTATAGTGCTTTTTGATTTACGAATGAAATAAGGTTTGGGGAGAACACTAGAATAATACATGAAAGTCTAAATCCAAAGGGAACACATGGTGAATTAGCCTTCTAGGTTGGCCTAAATATTGACGTCACAGCTTTACAGCTTAAAAAAAAACTATTAATCTCACCAAAGCTTTTTCGACCTTGTTGAAGTGAATAGAAATAGACAGAACAGAAAAGAGACATTCAGGATGAAGCCTGACTTTTAATATTACCTGCTCTAAGAAACATGGTGTTGACTAAAAGCAGGGACTCAGCTGGAAAAATCTCATAGAAGACATCCTGTATTTTAAAAATGAAATTCTGCCTTCTGTCAGGATAAAGAAGTGATGATTTTTTTATTGAGTTTTAATCTTCGGACAGATGATTTCAAGGGTACTAGGTGAAAATGTAATGCAACATAACTAGCAATAGCCTTCACCTGTATGCATGTGTACTGCATATATATATAGTAAAGCCAGAAATTATTCATACCCCAAAAGCAAATTCTGCCTTTATGTTTCTTTTATTCAACCATCAAGTTTGTTTCTGTCAGCAAATGACACCGGCTTTTTAAAAAAAATAATAGGATGATGTACAAAATTCATCATTGTAGAAAAAAAATTTTTAACCTTTGAACAAAAACTGACATGTCTAAAAGTATTTATACCCCTCTCAATAATCAGTAGAAAACCCTTTATTGGCTATTACAGCAATCAAACACTTCATATAATTGCTCAGCTGCTTTTCACATGTCTCCACTGGTATTTTTACCCATTCATCTTTGGCGATGAGCTCCAACTCTTTCAGGTTGTAAGGTTTACTAGCGATAACCCTGATCTTTAGCTCTACAAATTCTCAATTGGATTTAGGTCAGGACTTTGGCTGGGCCACTGCAAAAAGTTAATGTTTTTGTGTCCTAATCATTTCTTCACCACTTTTGCTGTGTGTTTTGGGTCGTTGTCTTGCTGAAATGTCCACTGATGCCCAATGCCAAGTTTCTCTGCAGGCGGCCTGTTGTTGAGATGAATAATTGTTGTTGTATGAATAATTTCAGGCTTATATATTTATATATCTATATATATGAAACAAACATGTTTAATTACACTGCACCTGTTTTTTGAAACATAAATTACATTCTTTTCAACCATTACAGAAACATATGGAGTGAAACTGACTTCATAGATGATCTGGATATAAACATGACCTTCAAGCACATATAGAGTTCACAGTATTTTCATTTACAGTAACAGTATTTTTTATGTTGCAGGAATGCATCAAATTAACCACCACCTTCAGTGTTTAACGTTGCACATAAGGCAGTTTCAAGCTGTCTAACTGACTAACTTTCAGCCTGCTGCACTGATCGCCTACATAAACAAGTTTTGTAAGGTCTCGTAGCAAGTTCGGGTTGGAACTGATAAAAAAAAGAAAAAAAAGTATAATCAATAAAATTAACATTCATGCAGATGAGCCACAAGATGAGAAATAAAATGAGAAATAAAGTGGTATCAAATTCACACACACACACACACACACACACACACACACACACGCACGCACGCACACACGCACGCACACACACACACACACACACACACACACACACACACAAACACACACACACACAAATTAAACTGAAAGGAGATTATTTCGTGTTTCCAGTATTTAATTATAATAAGTTAACATAAACGATTAAATTAGCGTAAACAAACTGCCTCACCTAAATGAAATAAAGCTGGACATTGTGCATATAAGCAAATAAACAGATGTAAAGGTGCACTAAGTAATTGTTTGTGTATGCTGTGGCTTTATACTGATGTATATTGATTTGTTATTTGACATATACATTAGGAGACCACTTGATTCTGAAAACTATACTGACTGTTTATTTAAATGAAAATAGTGTAATTTTAATCATTCTTTTTTCGCATAAAATAACAAAAAACAATCATACTAAGACACACTAGCAGTTTTACCAGTGTTTTAACTTTAAAGGTGCAGTAGGTGATCTGCCTAAATGCTATACATTAGCATAATATCTTTGAAAATACAGTAACTCCCCTGCCTCACTTCAGTCAAAGAGCTTACAATGACCAAGAGGCGACACTCCATTGCAACATCAGCGCCCAGCAACAGCCCCTGATTCCGCCATTTTAGAGTAAAAGCGATCGGCTGTCCATTGGATCTTATTGCTGTCGTGATGAGGAGCAGCTGCTTTGTTTTCTTATCTTTTTATTTGAAAGGCGCATTAAAGCTAAGATACAATCTGAAAGATGACAATACAACACTTACCATAACAGTCATCAGCACTTTTAATAGTTTATTTAACAGACTTATAATATGCTGTTGTTCTATTGGTGTTTTCATTGCAAAATGGCCGCCGCGCCGTCTAGTGTCTGTTTCCTAAATTGCACTAGAGTGTGGCCTCTTGGTGATTCTATGCTCTTTGCCTCAGTAAAGCAGGCTAGGTGGAATAGCGCTATTTACTTGTGTTTTGTGGTTAAACTAAATAAAATCTACATTATCAATGCTGTAAAAGGTCCCTTATGAAGCTGAAAATAGTAACATCAATCGTTCACCTGATGATTTCAGTGGCTGAACAACACTTCTGTGCATATAACCCATTCATAAACAACACTGTCTACATCAGCTTGCGGGACTAAAATAGTTTTAAAACATAACATTACCTGTCTGAAAGAAGTACTTCAGCCATGGTGTCATCCTTCCTCCAGCGTGCAAAAGTAACTAAAATATTGATTCAGGATTTTAAAAGATTTGATTCAGCATTTGTTTTTACCGCTGTCACTCTTTCTCTCTCGTACTGTATGCACATGTCATGAACGTGGTACATGTGCACGTGCAAATGGCGGATCTTTGACAGACAGTTTGGGCTACTTATCAGAATTATGGGAATTATCGGCCTGACAAATTTTAATTGGATGAACATTTTTTTAATTTTATGCTTTACCCATAATATAAAAACACACATAAATACAATCATGTCATTTACTTTAATCATTACTATTGGAATGTTAAGAGACTTTCAACAAGGACAACATAAAATGTTTCTGAAGACAATCAACTACTGCACCTTTAAGATGAGTTAAAAATGTATGTTTGGTGGAATAACTTTGATTTTTGATGTTGATTTTTGCAACAAAAAAATTAAAACACTTGTAATTCTGACTGTAATTTCCTAAAAAAAAAAAAAAAAAAAAGAACTAAACATGGAAATATTTTCATTTGAAATTTGGGAGAAATGTTCTCACGCCTTCATAGAATAAAACAAATATTAATATTTTAGATAAATATTAAAGTAAATGCAGAAAACTGAGAATTTTCATGTTGTCTCTTAATTTATTTCTATAGCTGTATACACATTGTGGAACTTTGTAACATCTATTGCAGTGTTTCTCAACTCTGAGGACCACCAGCACTGCATGTTTTGGATGTCTCCTTTATCCGTCACACCCATTACAGGTCTTTCAGTCTCTGCTGATGAGCTCATGATCTGAATCAGGTGTGTTTGTGAAGTAAACATGAAAAATGTGCAGTGCTGGTGGTCCTCCAGGAACGTGGTTGAGAAATACTGATCTATAGCATTTGGTTTGAAGGTAAACTGTATGTTATTTGAACAATAAATATAAGTTTATAAATAAATATATAAAAATTTTACCCATTTTAAAGATATGACTGGATATCACAAGCAATATTATTTTTTGTTTAATTATTAATTATAAAACAGTAAAATTAAGAAATAAATTAATTAGTACACCTTCAAGAGACGCTAACACCAGATTTTCTTATGCCTACTATATCTTGAACACTCCAATGACACAAACGAGAGTCAAAAACACATAACCTCGTACAAAAGTCTGATAAGTGTTTTTTTTTTTTTTACAGTTCGTTTGTCATAAACCCCAGAAGGCCTATACAAAACTCATCCAACTGTCTTTCTCCTTCCACTTCAAGTCTTTTTTAAAAATTTTTTTGCGTATGACAAGCGAAAAAGATAAGCACAGTTTGGTATCGAACGAGCCTGATGTGCGTCAAAAAAATGAAGAAAAAGTCAGCCGGATGGTCACAAATCCTCCAATAGAGTGCAAGATGAGAACGATCAGCAGTACACCGACCAGTAAATAAGGTTGAAAATTATATAAGCTCCGGGAAAGATCATTCTGGAGTATTTATCAATGGCGTGTGTGTTCTGCATGATGCGTAAGGCGCGGATGCCCTTCTTCTTGGTGTTGGTGGACTCACTGCTCACGGACAAGTGGACCACCATATGCTCCTGTTTCTCCGGTACTACCTCTTCGTGTACCATCGGAGCCTCTGTGTAACCAGCCAGACTGTTGGTGTCGGCCTCGCTGTAGGTCCCATCCAACATCATGGTCCTGGTGTGGGACATACCGCAGGTGCAGGGCAGAGACTGGAGAAATGAGGAGAAATTGTTAGTGTGGGCCAAAATATTGCATTAATTCAATTAGATGTAATAGGGAATTACATCCAGGAATAGAGAGAAGAGGGTGTTCAGATGCAAATTTGTTTCTATCAAAGGTTCAAGACACCCTCTTGATCAGTTAAGACAACGTTAGCACCTGTCAGCTTTAATTGTGGGGGGAAACTGGATCATTTTGAGATTTTGTCAGCTAATTTCATCTTTTGAGTTTAAAATCATTTTTGGTGTAGGATCAAAATCGATGACGTAGCACTCGTTTGCCTGTACAAAGATGACTTGTCAGTCTCTTATTATTATTCATAGCTGAGTTTTTTTATCCTATGAGAGGACGCTGCTTCTTAATTATTCAGACCTACCAAGCTGTGATACCTCATCCACGCATGGCAAGCAGTATTTAGCCATTCATGATTGGCTGTATGTGTTTGTTTCCATGATTCACATGGTTTGTAGCATGGCTTTCCCTGCGATGCTGTAAGGGCCGATACAGCAAAGCTTTTGGTTTGCAGCAAGCATTTTTGTCTGGAAAGCTGTACGAGAATTGGAGAATGGCGAACTTTGTCTTTTATCAGTCGAGTTTGTTACTATTCAGACACATTGCCTATCTCTGCTGCTGTGTTCGCTTATTTTTAAAATCCTCCAGATTACAGGCAGAGCTATTGGTTGGAATAAACAGGGTAAGAGACCTGCTGCACTGCTATCCACTGTGTCTGCATTCAGACCTGGGGATTGAGGAGGAGAGAATTCCTCTTCATATATCAGAATCAGAAAGAGCTATATTGCCAGGTACGTTTACACATACGAGGAACTTGTTTTTGTGACAGATCTTCTACAGTGCAACAGAATTACAGAGACAGGACAAAAAAACAGATAATAAATATATACTTCAAAATTAGAAGTAAGTGATGAAAGCAAATATACAAATTAACAAGTGCATGTGCAGGTATATTACTATATACAACGTTGTATGTGTAGCTATTATGCGCTAATTTGCATGTAAAGTGTGTTGTTAAATAAGTGTATATGTGTATAAAAATTGTATAGCAAGTACTGTAGTGATGTTGGTTCCACAATTATTATCATCAAGTGTTCATGAGATGGATTGCCTGAGGGAAGAAACTGTTTCTGTGTTGGGCTGTTCTATTGCGCAGTGCTCTGTAGTGTCGACTAGAATGTAAAAGCTCAAAGAGGCAGTGTGCTGGGTGTGAGCAGTCCAGAGTGATTTTGGCAACCCTCCTGCTCGCTCTGGATAAGTACAGTTCAGAGTAGAGAGGATTGTACCAATGATTCGCTCAGCAGTCCGAACTATTCGACATAGTCTTCGGAGGTCGGATTTGGTAGCTGAGCTAAACCAGACAGTTATTGCCGTGCAGATGACTGATTCAATGTAGCGTTTATATAAACATGATTATCTTTAAAATCATATAACAAATTGTATTTATGTGTATATGAAATTACGAAAAAAAAATGTAGAAGGACATTTGTTAACTTACTGTATATTTCTTTGCATTTTAACATTGTAAACTATAAAATCATGCGTCTCCTCATGGTTTGTTTCATTTTGTGAGCCAACTGATAGTTGTTTGCTTCCCCTTTTTTTCCCTTGCTCTGCTGGCCAAATCTACTACTCCCTCTGCTCGCAGCGGCCCCATGCCCACTATGAAGCATTTTTCGAAAAAATAGACTTGAGGTAGACTTGAACTGAAAGAGGGAGGTCTCATGACCTTTTAAAATACAAAGTGGATCTAGAGTGCTGCTAGGAAAATTTAAAATCCAAATCAAAATAATAAGTCTAAGGTAAAAAAGTAAAAAATATACTTTGTTATCATGGCTATTATTTAAAAAAAACAACACTCATGTACAATTATAATTCTCATTAAAAGCTTAATTTTTCTTAATTGTTTTGTTTTTATACATATATTGTGATGTTTCGTTATTTAAAAAAATGCATGTCAATGTGGTTACAGGTATAGAATTTGTTTAGTCCAGATGCGTTTAATTTCGGGGTGAACTATCCCTTTTAAAACAGGTATAATATAATCTATGTACAGCATGAGGTTATTAATCTATAGTACAGCCTTCTGTTTAAGCCCTTAGCTCATATTAAAAAAGATCTGTGAATGATAATAAATACTAGATATACTCATTATGCTACACATTTAAATAAGCTACCTTTATAATTATCTATTCTGTTTTTCATTCGATGGATATTTATGTCATTCATTCATTCATTTTCTTTTCGGCTTAGTCCCTTTATTATTCTGGGGTCACCACAGCAGAATGAACCGCCAACTTATCCAGCACATTTTTACGCAGCGGATGCCCTTTCAGCCGCAACCCATCTCTGGGAAAGATATTTATGTCATCCACAACAATAGTTTGTTTATTTGTCTTCTTTTTAGATTTTCTGCATGTATTGAAACACATCTAATAGTATACACTACAACCAGGGATGAGCCTGGAGAAATATCCTCACAGAATGTTGGAATTACAGTAACAAGAGTTAGGATTTTTATATGCAACATGGGATTTTAACTTTCTATTTACAGTTTCATAATGAGGTCGCGTCAGAAATGCCATTAGGTTCTGACAACAAAGAAGCAAATTTTAGTCGGAAAGCATTGAATAATGCATCATGCTGCTATTCTTATTTAAAAAAAGAGCATTATGCATTATGCTAGTATTCAAATTCTAATTCCAAACATAGCTTGTGGCTTTTGTTTTTCTGTAATACATAGAATGTTCTCTATAATGTAAACAGCATGTGAATTGTCTGTAGCCGTATTACTGCAGGAAACAAAGCATTTCATTTTCTGTTTGTCTCAGTCCTTTTACTTTACTTGTTAGGTCTTAAAATCTGTTTCTATGCTGTTAAAAAATTGGTTAATACAGTACATTTGGCCCAAAACTTATTATTTCAGTTTAAATTCAATATGTTGCCTGTCATGTCTTTGTAACTGTTTATAAAATTGACTGAAAATTGTTTCCAGACCATTTGATTAACATGGAAAAAGCAAATACATTTACAAACAAATAAACATTTATTTTTTGGGAGATTAAATTAAATAAGCAAATGTAGTAAATCTGACAATATTTTATGATAATGTAACTTTAGGTATTATTATTTGGTCCAAGTTAGAAAAGACAGACTGTAGGTTTTTAGCACATACAGTCGCTCCTTTTAGGCTGTATTTTTATTTTTTGGGTGAACTATCCCTTTTAAAAAGCACATAAACAATGGAAAGTGCATATTCTTATGTGGTTTACCTGCTCTCTAACAGCTCGATCTCGAAGTTTGCGCTCTCTCCTCTCCTGGACCGTGGTCAGATAGTTGACCGCTGCATACTCCAGAACAGAGAGGAACACAAACACGAAACTGACCCACAGGTAAATGTCCACAGCTTTGATGTAGGAGACTCTGGGCATGGAGGCGTTCACTCCAGTGATGATGGTGGACATGGTGAGCACGGTGGTGATGCCTGAATGACATCAGCACATCATGTTAAAAATCTGCAGGTGCCTGAAACCACACTGCATCCGTCAGCCTGAGGCCAAAAGAGCCATCTGTGATAATCTTACCTAATGAAACTCTTGCTGGAACGGCTCTGCGATCAATCCAGAACGACACCCATGACAGCATCACCATCAGCGTGGCGGGAAAATAAGTCTGCAGCAGGAAGAAGAAGATGTGCCGGCGAAGTGTGAAGTTTATATACAGGCGGTTGTACCATCCTGAAGAAAAAACGAGATTCAAGAGTCAAATGTTATCACTAGTGACTTGAGCCAGATTTAAGCATGCATTTTATTGGATTAAATATTAAGATACCAAACTAGCTGCATTTATTTGATCAAAAATATAGTAAACAACAGTAATTTTACACATACAGGAAATATGAATTATGTCATTAAACTCTCACCATTAATTGAAATGTTTTTTTGCTAACTAGTCTCATGTTTTTTGTTTAATGTCAAAAAATAAAATGAAATAAAATTATATTATGTTAGTTTTTCCTCAGCGACATTCTTGCTGTGAGGTGATCGTGCTACCCACTGTGCCCCTGTGATGCCCTATCTTTAGACAACTATAATTCATTCATTCATTCATTTTCTAGTCGGCTTAGTCCCTTTTTTAATGCGGGGTCGCCACAGCGGAATGAACCGCCAACCTATCCTGCACATTTTTTACGCAGCGGATGCCCTTCCAGCCGCAACTCAACTTTGGGAAACTTCCACACCCACATTCACACATACACTCATACACTACGGACAATTTAGCCTACCAAATTCACCTGAACTGCATATCTTTGGACTGTGGGGGAAACCGGAGCACCCGGAGGAAACACACGTGAATGCAGGGAGAACATGCAAACTCCACACAGAAATGCCAACTGAGCCTAGGATCGAACCAGCGACCCAGCAACCTTTTTGCTGTGAGGCGCCGACAACTATAATAACTATGATTATTAATACAGTTTTTCCCAGTGGCTTTGGTGCATTTCTCACAACACTATTTAAATTTGCACAACAGTTAAAGCATTTCTCAAAACAACCAGTCATTTGTGCACATCCTAGAAGCAGTTTCTCATTCCTTCCAACAAATTGCGAATGCTTTTGAAGATACATCAATTGCTTTCATACAACTCTCTGCTGTTATAAAACATTATCATCTGTTTATGTCATGTCAGTCAAAATTAACTAAACTTGAATGCTGATTAGCCATTCCATTTAAAACTAATAGTCCTCATTTCATTACTTGAGTCATTACATACAAAAATGTTAAACTAGTTGTCAAAATCTGTCAAGCTAAATTTATAACAAATTTTAAATCTTTTTCTTTGCTGAAAATGTCTTCTAAATCAAACAATTTCATGAATGATTTACAGACCTGTGTATGTTGTAGGTTCAGTTCCAATATGTACTGCAATATTGTTTACAGTTCTGCACAGCTCTACCCAAAGTGAGTTTCTGTTTGTTGTAAATAAGGGTGTATTTATTCTTTAGCACAATGCTGTGAATAAATTAGAATTGCAAAGAGCAAATGCAGTAAAAATGTGAAACACATATTCAGAGTCTTGTACTCAGATACCTCACTAAATGCAGTGATGTCTAACTTTACTGTAGTTTTCAAATGGCTGTGGAAATAGTACAGAGTGCTGTCTTTGAGGAAGTGTCACCAAAATCTGACTTTTTTGCATTGGAAAACATGTAGAGTAAACTGTCCTAATGAAAACAGGACAAAGCCATTTGACTATCTTGTTCATAAACAATGGTGTCAGGACTTTTCATCTTGATGACACTGACACTTTCATTGACATCAATACTTGCTTTTGAGGAATGAGCTCTCTTTGTGCAAATGTAAAACGTGTTGTGAGAAATGCACTAAAGCCACTGAGGAAACTGTAAATTAAATTAAACTTTTGCCTTTGGACAGGTAGAATATGGTCACTTACAAAATAGGCTTTGCCAAGTACACACAAAAGACTGCATTTCATTGATTAATACTCCAATCTTTATATCTTCATGAAATTTGGCATGCAGATAGACAGATACTGTAGATAGATAGATAGATAGATAGATAGATAGATAGATAGATAGATAGATAGATAGATAGATAGATAGATAGATAGATAGATAGATAGATAGATAGATGATAGATAGATAGATAGATAGATAGATAGATAGATAGATAGATAGATAGATAGATAGATAGACAGATAGACAGATAGATAGATAGATAGATAGATAGATAGATAGATAGATAGATAGACGGACGGACGGACGGACGGACGGACGGACGGATGGACGGACGGACGGATAGACGGAAAGCTTGCAAAATATGAATGACATCTGCTTATAGGTGGCAATTGACTATAACTGACTAAAATAATATATTCCACCATGGATAAATGTAGTTACAGATTTCCTAATTGATAAATGGGCATATGGCCTTAAAATGCTTGAATCCAACTAATGATCACTTGTGGTTTTATTTATTATTATTTTTAAATAATTTATTTATTATTGGGATAACAAAATCTAATTTTTGGCTGCTATCATTGCAGTCTTGTGTGTAATGCTGATTTACTGCTCAAAATACGTCTCATAATATTAATGTCCAAAACATTTGTGGTAAATCATGATGCATTTGAATTTTCTGATGAACGTTTGGATTTTCTATATAATTTAATATAATTTACCATTTCTAAATACATTAAAAACTCAAATCTTTTGAATGAAAAACAGCACAAGCAGACTTTTCAAGATAGGTATTTCCTAAAGAATGTTTATTTTGTAAATTATACAAATATTCATACATTATACATTTTAACACATTTAAACTGTCAAAAATGCTAAATATTTTGAGAAAAGCATGGTTCATTTGGATCTTCTGATGGATAGAAAAGGCAAAAACACAGCAACTTAAATATTTTGTATTTAACTTATACTTCCAAAACAAGTAATTTTTAATAATTGATTTATTTTATCTGTAGACTATTGAAAACAAAAATAGCTTAAAGGGGCTAATAATTTTGACCTTAAAATGGTTTTAAAAAATGTAAAACTCCTTTTATTCTAATAATTCAGGGTTCAACTAATATATATATATATATATATATATATATATATATATATATATATATATATAAACATAAAGGTTTCAATTATAAAACCCAATCTAAAAAACAGATGCAACAATTTCTTAAACTTCACTGTAAATCTGCCTTAAAGAAGCTAAATAATTTGTGAGCAATGCGCTGGCATCATTTGCTTGAGGTTTTCACTTGCTTTGATATTTAATGTAATAACATTCAAACACTTTTAACTGTGACTCGGGTGTCCAAATCAGTCTTGGGGCCACAGTGCACATTTGAAAGAAATCAACTTGACAAATAATCCCCCGATACCTGTGCTGCTGTAGAAAGCCAGCCGAGAGGTAGTGTGAAACTTCTGTATGAGGAACTGAGACAGAGAGATTTTCTCATCTATACTCAAAGACTCATCTCCATTTTTCCAGTACAGCATCAGATCCTCATCCGTGTAGGCGTCTAGAAAAGAAGCATCCAATTCAAGAAAAACTAACTTGGCAGAGTGGATTGAACATGTGCCGACACTAAAAATAACACAAATTAGTGATTCACACTCACAGCTCTCCAACTCCAAAGAGCAGGTCTGTGAATCCAGGGGGAAGCGGCTGAAGTCCATGTTGCAGGCGGCTGTAACTGTGACCCTAGGCACAACAACCACGTGAAACACAGTTGAAAAATACAGAAAGCCACACATCTTTAGATTTCATCATATTTCTTACAGTTTGCTGAAATATATGGAATTTTCGTATGCCGTTTCAAAGGAATTGGAATCTGTATTGATAATGAAAATTCTGCCATCGTTTGCTCACCCTCATGCTCAAACCTTTTCATAACCTCCCATGATAGATTGGTGTTTAAATGAACAATTAATTAATCAACTAACTTAAAGAGACGGTTCACCCAAAACAGAGATTGTTTACTACCTCTCAAGTTTTTTCAAACCTTAATGAGTTTCTTTCCTCTGTTGAACACAAAATAAGATATTTTTTATAAACCCTCCAAACCTGTAACCATTGACTTCAATAGGAGGAAAAGCAAATACTATGGAAGTCAATGGTTGCAGGTTTCCAACATTTTTCAAAAAATCTTCTTTTATTTTCAACTAAAAAAAGAAAGTTAAACAGGTTTGGAACAAGAGAAAGGTGAGTAAATGATGACAGAATTTATATTTTAGTGTGAACTGTCCTTTTTACTGAATGTCAATAGCACCGTCTCAGGTGTAAAACTTACTTTATGTAGAAAAAATACTTTCAGTTTAATTTTCTTCTTAAATATGCATAGGATATTAAAGAACGTCTGGAGAATGTGAAAAGGGCAAGGTTTACTCATGAGGAGGGCTTCGTTTGAAAGCGTACTGAGACAACCTCTTCAAGGAAGTCTTGATACGCTTTTTTGGTCCACTTTTGGTGCGCACTTGAGTGCGATTGCTACATTCACACCTGCCAAAATGAACCTCACCAAGAGGGAAAACGAACTCTAGTGAGATTCAACCAAACTAAAAAAGGCAGGTCTGAAAACACCCTAAAATAAAGTTTTTAGATGTTAATTTCCGTATTGTTCCTTTTTAGGATATCTATAAGCTAGTGCACACCAAAACAGTGACGAATTTCACATTTAGAAGGCATAAAACTAATATAAACATGTAACTGATTAACGTTTTTTTTTTAACGCCACCTCATACTTCAGTTTCTCATCAAATTGTGACCAATCAAATGCTCTTGAGTATCTGAGCAAGCCCCGCCCCCTTCAAGACACTTCACATTTGATGCGCTTGTGCTCAACCACTCTCACAGGCAGAGCATTGATAAATTAAAATGCTATTGGCTGTTTTATTAAAAAAGGGAGGAGCTAAACTATGTGCCACCCTCTCTTCGTGTTTCGAGTTGAGATTGCGTCAAACGTTGAATAAAAATGCACATTTCAAAGCATTTCACGGGACCTTTAATGGCAATTTCCTTATCATATTGATTTATTTTAACCCTCTTATTCCAGATTTTCAAATACTCTTCTCTCAAATATTGTCCAATGCTAACAAAACAATGGAAAGCTAATTTATTCAGCTTTCAAATTTCCAAAATATGGCTGGTTCTGTGATCCATGGTCACATTTGTGCTGCATCTAAAAAAGAGACACCCTTGGAATGGCAGTAGCTCTGGTACGAAAGCTCCGGCTAAGGATAAAAATGTAAATGCGATGTAAATGTGCTTAGTAATGCTAGTCAAGAACAGCATACTAGAGCCTTTTACTGAAGCGACACTAAGGCCTTCTCGTCTCTTTCTCTGCATTTCTCTCCTCTGTTCTCTGCAGCGCTTGCCCATCATATGTCGGACAATGGAAATAATCTGGGCCAATCCCATCAATAATGACACTTTCCCCGGAGCCAGAACAGTGTCTGAAATTTGACTTTGAACTCAGCGCTAGCCCTTGATTATAGCCTGCACGCAGGTAGCTTGGCCTAATTTTTAACTCACAGCACAAAAAGACAAGGCAAAAACATCACAGGCCAGAAGCATCGTTCTAATTTTAACACCGCAGCAATATGCAAATGCTTAAACCCGGCGACATACTTTTGTTTTTCCAACCACATTTGATTGAAATGAAAGCACATGCAGTACTTGAGTTGCTTGGAGGTGTAATGTAGTAAGAACTGAATTTTTGTATTTCACTTACACTGTACAAAACATTTGCATAACATTTGCATAAATACATTTAAGCGCTATACATATATGCACAGCTCATGTATAATTAAAATTATGATGGTCGACTTAAAAGTCAGACATGTCAGTGTTGATAATGTGCTTTTCTACCTCAGGCTGTAAAGAACGTGACCGTCAGGGAAGACTCTCAGCATGATGTTTTCGGTGGTGGTGTCATGAATAAAAGATCTTTTGGAGTGGACGAAGAAGACGTCAGGAACCCAGATCTTCTTCACCAAGCGGCCGTCGAAAGTCATGCTTTTGTTCGTGGAGCTGGTGAAGGACAAGCGCTCATCCTTCCAGTAGTGGCGCAGATATAATGTCATGGTGAAGTCCTGGACAGATGGAGAAAAGAGAGATTTTACAAATATTTCATTAAAGCACTTGTTTTTTCAACACGCAGAAAGGAGCTTAGGAGCTTAAGATTTGATATTCCAAAAAATTTGCACGTTATTCAAGATGGATTCAATTAATCAAAGTATCATTTATTATGGTATGATAACGTAACGTAATGTGTCCTGAAATTATCATCTGAAAATATTCTCAGATGATCAGATATGTTAAAATGCTTATATTATTATTATTAATAATAATAATAATAAATATTTCTTGACCACCCAATTAACTAATCAGAATGATTTCCGAAGTTTTATATGATGCTGTAAAAATATAATATAATATAATATAATATAATATAATATAATATAATATAATATAATATAATATAATATAATACAATATAATATAATATAAAGTTTTTTATGTGTAACATAACGTTATAAAGCATTTCACTCACTTTTGAAACAAAAAAAAAAAAACTAAACTTTTTTGATTATTCAAAAGCTTTCACTGAGTGATCAAGCCTATTACAGTTAGTATAACCCTATAATTCAGGTTATGAAAGAAAAAAAAAACATCTCAACCTGAGGTTTTCCTTATATTTATAAGATATTACACCAGAAAAAAATAGTTTTTTTTAAAATAAGTGCAGCCATAAACGTAATAACAGCTTAATTTCATACAGTTAATATTGAGCAAGTCACACTTTAGACACAATACTGTCCTTTTTTGCTGACGAAAATAGCTCTGAACAAAGCTTGAATAGAATCAACACTGCATTGTTTGTTCCTGAATGAGTGTGTTTTTGAACAAATCAAGTGAGCCACTTTTAATGAACTAATGAATGGTTTGAATGAATGATTCAATTAATCAATCATAAAAACAGGGACATGCTGCCAGATAATAGTGGTTTTAGATTACTAATTTGTACATGACAAAACTAAACCAATCAAGTTTGAAAAACACTCAAAGACAAGAGCACTCTCAACAAAAACTGTTAAAACATCTTACACAAACTATTGAACAGCAGTGCAGATCTTTTTAAACACAATCTTTAAAGACATGACATTTGTCCCTCCGAAATAGACGAAAAAATTCAAAGAAATTTGTTTTTGCTAATAAAAAGAAATGCTCAAAACAAATACAAGTAAAACAATCCCGTGATATGAATGTGAACAATATACAGCTCTGGAAACAAATGAAGAAATTCATTAAAAAAAATAGTATATCTGAACGTAATGGATTTATTGGGTTTAAGCTAAATATTAACCATTGCTTATTCAATAAAGTTCTAGTAGTTTTTCTTCCAAATAAAAAAAGAAGTCATTTAGAGCATTTATTTGTCAGAAAACGACAAATATTCAGAATAACAGATATAAAATCAGGTCTATCCCATCCAATATTGCTCTAAATGTTGTCAAGTACTGCATTCTTAACTCTTTTGTAAAACATTTGCATTGTGTTGACTAAATACAAACAGAATTAAACAAAATAAATCTGTATTTTTATTGTTTCTTTGTCAAAAAAAAATGCTTTAAACAACATTTTTAATGTAAAGAAATATCTTCAGTAGTTTGCAGAATAAAGCAATTTTCATAACAAGAAAAGTTCTACAAGTAATGAAAATTCTGTCATCATTTACTGTTTTTTCAAAACATGAATTTCTTTTATGTTTAATAGCCTGTACATGTCACAAAAAAGTGTGGACTACAGCTTCAAAAAGACATTGAAGTACCAAAAAAGCAGTTCATACTTTATGACTTATGCAATATTCCAAGTCCTCTAAATCTTACATCTTTTGAAGACTGCAGAACTTTGTGCACAAGTGAGCCACTTTTATTTTTCACTTTACTTTATCTTTGAAATCTTTTCAAGCTAAATGCAACAAGTAATTCTACAGGTCAGAAATTCAGCTTCTGTGAGTATGAACAACAACATGACGAAGAATAAATGATGATGTAAATAAAACAGTATGTAACAATGCTTTGTAATGCATTATAGCAGTGTTTCTCAACCATGTTCCTGGAGGAGCACCAACATGGCATGTTTTGGAGGTCTTCTTTGTCTATCACACTCATTACAGGTCTTTCAGTCTCTGTTAATGAGCATTACAGTAATGAAAATTCACAGGGAAGATGTGATTAATTGTCATAAAATAATGTCGCAGTGATCAAAACCTTAAACATTTTTCATTTACTAAGCAACAAATGTATTACTTTTGATTTGGAGGTCAAATTTGTCTTGAATCTCTAAAGTTTATATGATATTTGCAGATATTTTTTTCACAGCAGCAAGTCAAAGTTGCATACAATTTCCTCACGTTTTTATTTTTTTCAATAGAAAGTCTATGTAACTCTGGATCCTCCATATGACAGCTATGCCTTTCTAAATCTCTCAAGCAGATCATCCCTTCTCTCTTCTTTCTTCTGGTTACATAAGCATAAACATTTGCAGCGGCCAGTAATTATATATGGTCAATAAAAGCCCCACGCAGTTTCTTTGTTGCATCACACAAAGGCCTCTTATAACCAAAAGGGAAACCCAAAAGCATGCGAGCGGAATGACAGAATGGGTGTCATATTCTGTAAAAACAGAAGTAAAAAGAAGATTCGTGATCAAAGATACTGCCATCAGAGACACGAAGAAGCTCTTTTTTTTTGAGGAATACCCTTGTGGGACACAGTCGCTGCAAAACTGCCAGCGATAAATTGGCAAAAAGCAATGGAATTATGAATTATTAGGGGATGAATGTTAGATAATCTGTCAAAGATCATGTCTAGGTCACTTTATTGAACAAAATCAAAAGAAATATTTCTTATTTAAAGTATCATAAGGAATTAGAGTTGCATTTTGATCCTTTGGAATGTGCTATGGCTTGATTCCCAAAGGAGCTTATATTGTACAATTATACACCATCCGGTAAGCTGCACAGCTGTGCACTGCATCTCAGCATGATACTTTTGTTTGTTTTTTGTTTGTTATAGTTTATTGTTGAATGTTCATTTATTGATTTATTTATGTGGAAAACATGATTACATTAGAGTGGTGTGACAAAAATGCTCTTGCGATAAATCTAAAAAACAAGAAATCGTGTTCAATGTACAAACCCTAGTTATACAGTTGAAATCAGAATTATTACGTGGGACCAGATCTTGTCACACGTTTATACCTATCCACGACATTGCCTTATCCAATTAAAATTTGTTCATCGAATATACTGGACAAAAGAGAGATTGGCAAAAATACCTCAAGACGTGGACCCTATATGTGATCGGAGTAAACAAGCACCTGCAGACTTAATACATATGTTTTGGCTTTGTCCATCAATCACTTTTTTTTGGCTATCAATTTTCAAGTGTTTCTCTTCTGTGACAAAGATACACATTGAACCGTGCCCTCTTATTGCACTTTTTGGACTTTTCCTGAGTATAGCAGGGTTATCGAGCTGTACTGCAAAAGCCCCTGAATTTTTAACATTGTTAGCAAGACGTTGTATTGTGTTAATATGGAAACAAAGTTTTCCCCTGAGTTTTGACAACCGATTGTTAGATGCAATGAGCTTTATCCATTTGGAAAAAATCAGGTTTTCAATAAGTAGCAATACTAGGGCTTTTTCTGAAACATGGAACCCATTTAGAATTTCTTTTCTTTTTAGATTTCTTTTCTTTTCTGAGCATGTCAGTATCTCTACAAACAGTCAATCTAAAACATAGGGCCATTCAATTGCAATGCAAACATAATTAGGTGCATCATAAATACCTGAGGATTCATTTTTTGTAATATGGGGTCATTGAAGTATGCGTATTCTGTACGGATGTTTTACTTTTAGTTAATTTATTTTTATTTTGTAATTTATTTATTTTATTTACTTATTCGTTTTTATTTGTTTATTTTATTATCATTAGTATTTTTTTCTTTTTTTCTCTGTTAGATAAATGTAATTTCAACTTGTGTAGAAGGTAGGGATGGGAATGTTATTTGTTTAAATTTCTCTGTATAATTACTTTGTTATTTCTGTAAAAGTTTAATAAACAAACAAATACAAAAAAAAAATCAAAATTATTAAACTCCCTTTAAATTTTTTATTCTTTTTAAAATATTTCCCAAATGATGTTTAACAGAGCAAGCAAATTTTCACAGTATGTCTGATAATATTTTTTTTCTGGAAAATAAAAATAAAAGAAATAAAAGCAGCTTTATATTTTTAAACACCATTTTAAGGGCAATATTATTAGCCCCCTTAAGCAATATATTTTTTCGATAGTCTACAGAACAAACCATCGTCTCCATTAAACAGAAATTAGGGAAAAAATAAACAGAGGGGCTAATAATTCTGACTTTAACTGTACATACTGTAATGTAAACATCAGTAGAGAAATTGTATTTGACCTTAATAATAGACAACAATGTTTCATGGACAAACCATATTGATAGTGTGTGTAGTAAGATAAAGAAATAATACATTTTTTGGGTTGTTTAAGATCTTTTGGTGCATCGAAAAAGATTCTTGAACATTTTTTATGTCTGTAGTCATGAATGTTCAGTAGTATTGTAAGTCTGTATTGTATATGAGTCTGTCTGTATATGAGTGAGTTTAAATAAAAAAGATAATGAACCATATTAAAATCTGTTCAAAGATAGTTGGAAAGCCTCTTTAGAAATTATATGACCTTTCGTATTACAAGAATCTCACAAGGCTGTCAAGGAATATCATTTTAAACCCTAGTCATGTGTTGAATCATGAATTTATACTATTAAAGTCTAGCCGTCGATTTAGAGTTACAAGTTTTAATAAAGTGAAACTTTAAAAAGTCATTTGTACATCAGACTTGGAGATGAATAAGGTCTGTGTAAAATGCTTTATTTATTTATTTATTTATTTATTCTGATGTCTTTGTCTCTTTGTAAGGAGTATTTATCATGCTGTTATGCAAAAAAATCTGACAATCTGACAAGATCTGACAATCTTTAATAATTTAAGTTTTTTAGACACGATTATTTTGTATAGCACACTTCTCACATGGAACTATAGTTTCAGTTTCCCTCAAATTGGTTGGTTTGACACTTAGCATTTAATAATAATTTAACTGTAGTTTCTGTTTGTTTTGTACTTTAATTTTTCATTCTTTTGTTGTTGTGTATTATTAAATAGATTTTTTTTTTTTTTTTTGTAGCGTGATGAAAACCCAAATATGTTTATGTTTGTATATGTTCAATGTAATTAATGGCTACTGGTTGCCTATTTTATATTATTACTTAATACAATTATGAAATATCACTTTTACTCTGTTTTATTTTATCAATGCAGTTTTAAATTGCTATGACTTGCAGTCAGATGAAATTTATTGTCCTGAAAATACGGCACTATAACTAATTTCTATTTTTACTATATATAAATTACATTTCACATGAAAAAATATGAAGCTTATTATTAGGATACTTTTTTCATAACAATTAATCTCAATAAATTCAAATTAATCATTCTCATTTTGAATGAATGAATAAATAAATGAAGTGCAAGTAAAAAGTAAATAAAAATAAGAAAAAGTATTTTACTTGCTTAACTTTTTATTTTATTTAAATAATAATTTTGCAATTAAATTTAAGCAAAAATTCAAAAACACATAACGGACATATTTCAATTGTTCAATAGTTCAAGTCTGAAATGTGCTTAAGAATACAATAAAACAATAAAACTAAAATAAGTTTGCAACTTAAAATAAAATGTTAAATATTAAATAAACTTTTTAAAAAATAACTTCATTTGTACAAGTATATATAAGAAAAAAAAACTTTTATTTAGTTTATCTTAAACAAACATAAATAAATAAACAAGCTATATAGACATGTTATAAAAATAAACAAAGAAAAGAAAATCAAACTTTTATTTAGTTTATCTAAAACTAAAATAACTCCAACTGAAGCTAAATGAAGTAAAAAATAACTAATAAAAATGATTAAGAACACACAAAAGTATTAACTAAAATAAACTAAACTAAAACAATTAATATTAATAAAAACAAGACTGGTACAACAACAACTATTTAAAATAACACAAATGCAACAAAAATTTTAAACAAACTAAAATTAAACAAAAAAGTTTATATTAAATACTAACATTATTCAATAAAAATAATGTTAATATTAAAAACTAGATTGGTAACTCAATCCCTTTAATTAACCCTGGTCCCAATGCAAAGTTATTTTTCTTTTTTTCATACAACCCTTCATTACTCGTTTTGTCAAACTAAACTTCAATTATTTAATGCATGCTCATATGCTTATCATTTAGCACTCATCATGACGTTACGTAAACCACCACATGTGATATCAACAGCAACTGTTTCGGATTACCCACCATGTCAACTTCAGAAATACTATCCAAGCTTTCCACTTGCACATCGACTCCCACTGGAATAGCAGGACCTGAAAACACACACACACACAGACACACACACACAAATTTCAAAAACATTAATCCATTTACACAACCATATTTGGCAACGGAATTACCCCGCTTTCCCCCATACGACCTCTTTTGTATATTTCGTGCATTAATTTTTCATAAAAGCCATTGTTTACGACAGCCTCATACAGACGCAATTAAGCCGGCTGTTCGCTACGACTTCTGTGAGCATCATTAAACACGTCCTGAGATCCGAATCTGTTTGCTTTCCACCAGATCTGCTCACAAAAAGGGCTTAGCAGCTGCTCTGACATCTGACGGATTGTAAGGAACGCTGCTTTCTCAAAGGACGGGCCTTCAACCAGAACCGCAGCTTTGATATCCGACACGGAGCAGCACTTGTAAGGTCTTTTGTAGCGAACGTAAACCCTGGGATTAGTGTAATAGGGCTATCTGTCGCTCAGAAGGTATAAGACATTTAGGTAAATGGGCAGGGGGCGATCGCTACATATGGACGAGGATGATGCGGGAACGGCAGACAGAATCAAAACCAGATTTGCCCCCATGTCCTCGTAATCCCACCAGATTACTGGAGATGGTAAATGGTGGATTAGAGTTTGATGCTCCAAATGATACTGACACCAACTCGAACTTGCCATTACGGGTCACTTAATGTGTCACTCGTATATTAAAACGCATGACTTTAAAGTGCTGGAGAAAAGGCATTTGAGTGGTGCAGATAAACCACCGCATGCTCTTTACGATTCTGCTTATGTAAGATCTTCTTGTATGAACTTGAATGCCGTCAAAGCTTCAAATAAAGAAGGTTTACATGTTCTTTGCATTAAATCGATGTTATAAATCTGTCTTTTCATGCTCTTGAAATGGTTGCGTTTCAGAATGTAATACAAAAAGAAACATGAAGATAACAGTTTGGTTATTATTTACACTCTCATGTTGCTCCAAGCAAGCTTATTTGGATTTCTCTTTTTTTTTAATTTGCTGTACATTTCAGTTTAGTTTTAGTTACTTTGATTAATGATTTTATTAGTTTTGGTTTCGTTTTTGTGTTTTATTTTGTTTTTATACACAGCGTTTAGTTTTGATTCTAGTTATGTCCTTAGTCGACCAAAGCATTTTTTTAAAGTTTGCACAGCTTACATGAACTCTTGTGCAAACCTCTAAGTTATAAAAGTAAAATAATTGTTTAAAAAGAAACTAAAACACAAATTCAATCGTTTAAAACCAAAAGTTATGAAGCATTAAGACAATCTTCTTCATATTAAAGATCAAACATACTGTAAAAGGATCATTAATTTACTTGCACTACCGGTCAAAAGTTTGGGGTCAGTATGACTTTTAAATGTTTTAAAATAAGCTTCTCCTGCTCACTAAGGCTTCATTTATTTCATCAGAAATACAGAACCAATTTTAAAATTGTGAAATGTTATTGCACTATATAATAACTAATCAAAAGTAGTTTATAATTTAATAATTAATTCCAGTGATTGTAATGATGATGATGATGATGATGATGATTATTATTTTCCTTTATTGTTCAAAAACCATATATATTTTTTAAATGCAGAATCTTGCCAATACTTGACAGTATATTTAAATAATGTGACAAGGTTTAATACAGTACGCTGGAGAAAATGGATTTGAGTGGTGTAGATAAATAACCACATGCTTTTTATGGTTTGCTTATGTAATCAAGATCTGGTGTAAACAGTGGGCGAATGGCATCAATCTGGCTGTCATATAGCATCAATGCTTTTCAAATTCACACAACTTTCATATAATGAACTGATCTTCTTGAGATGCACCCTTTTGTCTTTCATTTAAGAAAAAAGAAAATTACAATAACAATACTTGTCGTTTTGTGTCACTTAGAGGAGTTCACTTGCAGAATGAAAGCTTTCTGATAATTTACTCACACCCTTGTCAGGCAAAATTTAAATTCTCTCTTTCTTCAGTCGAAAAGAAATTAAGGCTTGATGGTAAAAAAAAAAATCAGGATTTTTCTTCATATGCTGGACTTCAGTGGTGCTCAATGGTTTGAACTTTCAAACTACATCTTCAGAGCAACTTCAAAGCGCTCTAAATGATCCCAGCTGAGGAATAAAAGGTTCTTACTTAGTTAAACTAAGTTCACTTTCTCAAAAAATAAAAAGAGAGAAAACATTTTATCTTTGCAACCATAATATTTGAAAGTGTCAAGCTTTTAATGACGAATATACTATATTTATATTTGTTTTATACTGTATATAAAGATGCCATGCTTAGGTCAAGTTAAACTGTCGTCCAGCCAACTCGCAAATATAAACAGAAGTTCTTCTGATTGGTCCACTGCTGTAGAACTGACAGTATCTATGTTTTTATTCAAAGATGCAAATTAAATTTATGCGCAAAACTGGAATATATCATAAACATTTGCAAATAAAGTACCATTTCCATTCAATGATTCAAAGAGAGCAAAATCATGACTTCCTGATAAACTGGCACTAAATATCAAAAAGAAAAAGTAAATTAGCTCCAGTAGGAAAAAAACACGGCGAGCCTCAGTAGAAGAAGCCAAAATGCATTGAACACATGGTGGCTTTTGTAGGCGTGAGATGCTCTTTGGTAGCAGACGCTCAAACAGTTCTTGGAGGTAATAATACTGTACTGCTTTGATGACAGAATTTATCTAAGGCATTTTAAAATGACCAAAACAACATTTCAGATGTTGCGCAATGTGGTCGGTCCACTAGTTTGTACATTAATGACATCCCATCATGCCCCAGTTATAATAGAAAAGCAGGTTGTCATTGTACTGTATGGCAATGTGATCCTGTTAAAATCACATGGCTTTAATGCGCATGTTGGAATTTATTCAACAAATTGTGTTTCCATCTTCATTTATGCACATTTTTTCTCACCGAATAAATGTTTATCCTGCTCAGCTGTGCACATAAGCATTTTCAAAATGAATGCACATCTTGGAGATTCTATTTATTTATTTTTTTTATGTGTGAAATAAATGTGTGCATAATATTTTTTTAGAAAAACCTATTTATGAGCAACGTTTTAATTCTTTTAACTTGAAATTCTTAAACTAACTCTAGCTCATTCACATAGAAGTAACAATTGAAAAGCAGCACATTGAACTGTAAAAACACATTCAGTGTGAATGGCCCCTAATTTGAATGAGCCAATTTAAGCTGCATTAAAACTGCGATTTGGAAGTTCAAACCATTCAGCACCACTAAAGCCTAGTTAATGTAAAAATGTTGTGTTTTCCTCAAAAACTACATTCTTTTTGACTGAAAAAAGAAAGATCTAACCGTCTTGAATGACAAGGGAGTGAGTAAACTGTCAGGAAAATTTTATTCTGAAAGCAAACATCCTCTAATGTGTCACATTACTTATTATACTGGAGTAAATGCATGGAAAGTCATGTAGACAAATAACCGTATGCTTTTTTATGATTTTGCTTATGTACTAGACTAGAAATCGTCTTAAGTAAATGCACTGTCCAATGGGTGAATGAGGCTTTTCATCCCACACAAATATTTAAACACAAATAACAGTTATTATATTATTACATCAAATGGATATTATACACGTGAATGTTTTATATTCATGATTTCTGCATATGACAACTGAGTTTCAGATTATGGTTTGCACTTCTGCTTAAAGAACTTTAAACCCAAAAGAACTCCTTTCAAATCATTTTAGGATTTTATATCACTCATAATAATGTTTTGCAACAAATAATCCATACATGTACTGTATATACTGTATATGGCAAACATTATAATTAATATGTTATTCAATATTAACACATACACACAAAAAACATTAACAAAAGAGAAAGTAGTATACATACATATACATAATACTGCATGAACTGTAAAGAGATTAATGACATCTCATTGAACCCAGTTATTAAATCACTTGTTTGCAGTTTAACCCTTAAAGACCGAGACAGCCGCCCGCGGCTAAAAATAAGTATTGCTCTTAAATGTTTAATAACTTTTGATCCGCTAATCCGATTCATACAATTCAAAGATTGGCATAAAGAAGAGAATCTCAGCTTTCCAGCGCTGTAACATAGTACATTCGCGGACTTTCAGAGGCTCCGGAATCAGTGCGGTTACGTCATCAAAATTTGACAACGCTGATTTGACAAAGAAACGCTCGTCACTGTGTCTCCGGACAAACCAGACATGAAACATTGATGCATTGTCCCTCCTCCATGCCCAGATTGGTTCAAACTCACAATCTCTCAACCAATAAGCATAGGTTTCGCTTTCTGGACCAACAATGAGCTTTTTGAACAACACGGAATGAGAGATTTACGCGCGGCTAAATAAAACGCAAAAAAAAGTTTTGCATGAAATAATTCTCATACTAAGTACTTTTGCATGCACATCTGCACAGAAACATGACAAAACAGTGACACAGCAAAGACGAAGTGCTGCTCTTGCCGTTTTCAAAAGACGCAAATGAAGGTGCGGCTGTTTGTCTGCATTGCAGACAGCCATATCCATATCCATAGACAATCATGTCCATGCTGGCACATAAAACCTAAGGATGGTCCATATTGAATCTAGTTTAGTTATGTAACTATTTATAGTATAGTAAATATTTATATCCATTTTTTACTGAGGATTTGCACCATGTTTATTTGGACTTTGACGCATTATTTATTATTTTCTTATTTTTTTATTTGTTCATTGTAAGTGGTGTTGTTTATAGTAACTGAGAATATATTATTTGGAAAAAGTCAAAATTGCTTCACTGTTCTGTTATTTTGTAACATTTTTTTTCTGTTTAGTTCATTCCCAAAACTTTTGGGCAAATACATTGTCAGTAAATAAATGCATTTTTTCCCCCATTAAAAAACGCCTTGGAATAACATTGAAATAAATTGCTATAACTTGCTCAGGGAATGGTGGATGTAGACAAAATTTATTTTGGAAGTATAAAACATCATAGCATGTATTTCTAAAGAAAGAAAAACAAACTTCATAAG